ATATGAGGGAGGGAGGGAGGGTAGAGAAGAGAGAAGGGTCTCATGGAGCCTGGGCTGGCCTTGAGCTTGCTTTGTAGCCAAGGCTGGCTTTAAACTCTTCCTGATCCAACTGCCTCTACCTTCCAAGTGTTGGAGAATTCTAGGTCCTGGAGAGCAGGGGCTAGCTCTGCCTCTGGTTACCCATTAAGACCTAAATCAGTGTTTCATACAGACTTACATTCATTTAATTAAGAGACTCTGTGAGTCAGAATCTCGCTATGTAGCCTAGGCTGACCTCAAGCTCCCCATCCGTCTGCTTCAGAAATACCTGGGCTGGGATCACATACGTGTCCTACCATGCCTGGCCACATTTGTGCTTTATGTAATCACTTCTGCTAATCTCTACCAAATTTCCTTTAGCCAGGGATCTGGAGAGAAAAACAACTCATGGGGAAGTAGCCTCCTGAAGACACTGAAAGTGCATTGAGACTTAAAAAAATCTCCAGGTGGGCTGGAGAGACGACTCAGCGGTTCAGAGCACTGACTGCTCTTGCAGAGGACCCGGGTTCAATTCCCAGCCCTCACATGGAGGCTACAAACCATCCTTAACTCCAGTTCCAGGGGAATCTGAAGTCCTCTTCTGAACTCCGAGGCACTGCACGACACGGGTGTGTGTACTCACATACATGCAGACAATACATTCATACACATAAAAAATAATAAATAGCCGGGCATGGTGATGCACGCCTTTAATCCCAGCATTAGGGAGGCAGAAGCAGGTGGATCTCTGAGCTCAAGGCCAGCCTGGTCTACATAGTGAGTTCCAGAGCACCTGGGGCTACAGGGAGACCCTGTCTCAAAAAGACCAAAAAAAAAGAAAACATAATAATAAATAACATACAATTAAAAAAAACTCTAGGTTAATGAACTTTTGTTTTGAAATATCTCATTTTTATTTTATGTGTATGAATGTATTGTGTGCATCTGTGTCATACAATGCCCGCAGAGTCAGAAGAGAGCATCAGATCCCCTGGAACTGGGGTTACAGACAGCTGTTAGCCACAATGTGGGTGCTGGGAATCGAACCCAGGTCCTCTGCAAGAGCAGCCAGTGCTCTTAACTGAACCAGCTCTCCAGCCCTTCCCCTGTTTCTTGTGTAAAATATAGCCCCAAGTTGCCAGGTCCACCTCTCTCTGCAGATGTCCTGATTCTTGATGGATGCTCATAATAAATCTGGGGGAGCTATAGATCCTGAAGACACCAATTCTTCCATGTCACTGAAAGGAAACTATGTGGGTGCTGGGAACCAAACCTGGGTCCTCTGCAAGAGCATTCAGTGCTCTTAACCACTGAGCCATCTCTCCAACCCCTGAATTCTTGCTATAAATATTAGTGAGATTAAAAAAAAGTCTCGGGGCTGGAGAGATGGCTCAGCAGTTAAGAGCATTGATTGCTCTTGCAGAGGACCTGGGTTTGATTCCCAGGACCCACATGGCGGCTAGGAACGGTCCTTGACTCCAGTTCCAGGGGCATCTGATGCCCTCTTCTGACCTCCGCGGAACTGTACGACACGGATGCACTCACATACACACAGGCAATACACTCATACACATAAAATAAAAATTAAAAAAAAAAAGTCTCAGGTAGGCACAGTGAATTAAGGAGGAGAGGAGGCGGCTCTAAAGCATGTTTCTAGATGACTCAAAAAAAAGTGATTTTAGCTGGGCGTGGAGGCAGAAGCAGGCCGATTTCTGTGAGTTCGAGGCCAGCCTGGTCTACATAATGAGTTCCAGGACAGCTGGGGCTACAGGAAGACCCTATATGAAAAAAAAAAAAAAAAAAAGGGCTTTTAATATTCAAAATTAGGTTCAAGGATGAATATAAAAATGATGATTTAGGGGCTGGAGAGATGGCTCAGCGGTTAAGAGCACTGATTCTTCTTGCAGAAAACCCGGGTTTGAAACCCAGCACCCACATGGCAGCTAATAACCATAACTCCAGTTCCAGAGGATCCAACAGCCTCTTCTGTCCTCCGCGGGCATTGCAGGACACAGGTGCACTTACCTACATGCAGGCAATACATGCATACACATAAAATAATAAATAAAAATTAAAAAATATATTAAAAACCCCAACAACGATGATGTAACATTCAAAGAACAGTACAGGGCAGCAAGGGGAGGAAGAGGGTTTTCAGGAGACTGAGGTGGAGTCTGGGTAGGAGATGGGACAGCAGCTACACCGAATCAAGGGAAGCAGAGGATAGTGTCAGCTGATGAGGAGCTTCCTAGAGGTGGGGAGATCGCACGAGGCTGAGAACAGGATGAGGCTAAGCTCAGACCTAGGAAATCACAGGCCATCTTATCTTCAGGGAAGATGAAATGAATTCACGAGCTGCCACACGACAGGTGAACTTTCCATTTAAAAGTGAAGAACATATTGTGCATGGGATCTGTTGTCTAGCGTGACCTCCCAAGGAATAGAAATGAAGGCAGAAAAAAGAAATTTCAGCAAAGAATGAGCCAGACCGATGCGCTTCGGCCGAGCCAACCATGCCATACAAATCTGCTCCTCCTGGGTGTCAGGTAGTTGCTCTACTAACATGGAAAAGACAAAAACCACCCCAATCAGACTTAGTTACTGGGGGTGAAATACAGTTCTCCTGACTAGATAAAAGCCATTACAGCTGGGCAAAAAACAAACAAAAACAAAGCCATTACAAATGGTTTCACCAAGCAAGTGAATTCTTGGTGAATTCTAAGAAACATCTAGGAAAACACCTGGTAAAATACAGTCCAACATATAACCAATTTCCCTTCCTACAGTTCATGCTGAGAAATACAAGGAAATACTGCTACTGACAGTGTTTATATGAAACAATTATGAGAAATCAACTATGGCATATGATAAAGCATCACCAGTCACAAAAGCAGGAACAATAGCATGCTGGAAATATGCAGGTAAGATAAAAGTGTAAATTTCCACAGAGGACACCATGCATTTCTATGGGTATGAGTTACTCCTGGAGAGAAATCTACCAGGAGGCGAAGGCTATGAGTCATTTAATTCACCTCAGAACACCTCTTTAAGCTCTGGAAGACAGAAAAGTCAAAGCTGTATCTTTGTAGTCCCATACCCTTAAGCTATCATTCTGCCCTGAAACTACTGCCAAAGGCTATATACCTGTCCAAAAGAATGCAGTCAGTTTATGAACTAACTGCAGATTTAGCTATTTTGCTTAAACATAAAGAGGCAAGAGTCTGAAGGGTTATTGAAAGCCAGCTTGGCATAGAGTCCCTGGAAAGAGGCCAGGCATTATTAGAGACTATCTTTTTAGTATCCAATTCTGGATTTCTCACAATACAATTAGAGCCGAAAACATTTATTAAAACACTATAAATTACCTTTTATCCTTATTGCAACAAGTTTTAAAACCATGCTGCATCCATTCACTGAGAGAGAATGGTGCCAGCCTGAGCCACCCACATACTGCACAGTCATCTGCTTCAGGCAGCTCTGTGGCTGCCCAACTTGTCCCCCCCTCCCCGACACAAGCACCAACCCATTCAACCTTGCTTATGCCCAGATGGGCACCTTGATTGAAAAGAAAAAAAAAAAAAATCAATATAAACTCATTGCTGGTACATAAGAACAAACTACGGAACCCAGCAGTCATACAGGTTAACCAACACAGGTTCACCAATTGAGCTTTGATCTTCCCATTTGTAAAGCAAGTTCAAGCAACTCTTTCACAGGCTAATCAGGTTTCAATGAGATCAACACATAGAAACTGGAGGTTAGCATGCAGCAGGTGCTCAATGATGGCACCTATCACAATTATTTTTTCCACTACCCTTGGTTGGTTTAAGCCAGCTCCAAGTTATGTCTTTTCCATACTTTCTCTCCCTGAAGCTACTTAACTCAATTCTTCTGGTGTCTCCCCCAATTTTTTTTTTTTTTTTTTTTTGTCTTTTTTTTGAGACAGGGTCTCCCTGTAGCCCCAGCTGGCCTGGAACTCATGAATGTAGACCAGGCTGGCCTCAAACTCACAAAGATCTGCCTGCCTCTGCCTCCCAAGTGCTGGGATTAAAGGCATGCACCACCATGCCCAGCTACCCCAAAATATGTTTAACATTTACTGTGCCTGTTAATTACAACTCTGATAACTATAGGTAAAATTGTGGCATTTGTCTATGATTAAAAAAAATTACCTTAGTTTTAATTGTGCCCTTGGAGGCCAGAGGCTTCAGATCTCTCAGAATTGGGGTTGTAGGTGATTGAGAGTTGCCTGATGTGAGTGCTGAGAACTGAACTTGGGACTTCTGAACGAGCAGCACTCGCTCAACTGTGAGTCACCTCTCCAGCCCCCTCTAAGACTTTTTAAAAAGTAATGCACTTGGTTCCTGAATCTCCTTTTCAAATTGAAGGCAAAAAGCTATTATTCTAAACTTTTTTAAATCTTAAAAATTAATAATTTACAGAGTAAAACTATAAGGCTCCCTATAGCATTTATACTCATAAATAAATACTTTATATTTGCTGTATAGTTCTAGCTGGCCTGGAGCTTGCTATGTAGACCAGGCTGGCCTCAAACTTGGGACAATCATCCTGCCTCTGCACCCCAAGTGCTGAGATTATAAGTATGGGCTACTATGGCCAGTTTGATCACATTTTAAAAAAAAATTAAAGCTACTTCTTATTTTAACATTAAATACGCTAACAGTATCTAAGGCAATGTTGTAAGCCATAGTATTCTGGAGGGGGATCAAAGTAAACATAGACTTTGGATCTTATTAAAAATGACAGAACATAAACATTAGCTGTACACAAATATTCTAGACAGAGAGACATATATACTGAGCATAGAAACAGATAAAGGTTGTAATTGAGGCTCCACCCTCCTGCTGACTACTTAGCCTATATTAACTTTCTGTTCGTTTCACCTACCATTCACGGGCGAGCTTCTTGTAAGCCTTTTTAATGTCAGCCTGACTGGCTGTTCGGCTGACCCCTAGGACTCTGTATGGGTCAAAATCCAACGCAGACAGAATTTGCAGGATCAGAACCAGAACTATCAAGAATTGCCAGGAAATGCTCACTTTTTTCACTTCCATTTTGCTTCCTTTCCAGAGCTGAAATGATTGAAGAGGAAGTTTAAGTTTCAGAGGTAGAAACCTGGACAGTCTTGCTTTTTTTTAGGTAAGGGTATAAGATATATAGATGAAAAATCAAAACAAAAGGTTTTAAGGAAAAGTGTTGATCTATTAGACCCTATATTTTAAAATAGAATTTTAAAAACTTCACTAGTACTTTTGAATATCACAAATAAGAACTTTGTGTGTGTGTGTGCGTGTGTGTGGTCTTTTTGAGAGAGGGTCTCCCTGTAGCCCCAGCTGACCTGGAATTTACTATGTAGACCAGGCTGGCCTTGAAGTCACAAAGATCCGCCTGCCTCTCAAGTGCTGGGACTAAAGGCGTGCACCACCACGGTGGGCACAGATAAGAACCATTACAGATGAAAAGTTGACAGACAAGAATTAACATCAATATTCAGAATCACTGGATTAGAAAAGCTTTTTTCAATGACTACAAGTGAACAGGATGAAGAAATAGTAAATGACTTTGTATAATCAGGGAGGCTAGACCTCCAACACAGTCCCATCTAGTCTGACGACAAACTTCAAATAAGCGGCTTCAGAACACTTCACTGAGACCCTATTACATAAACACTTGAAATCATAAAATTTACCATGTGCTAAACTACAGTCTAGAATCATTGTGGTATTCCTGGACTCTGAATAAATGTGAAAGTGAAAGTCTTTAACAGAAGCTGTGCAGTATGACTTAGCATGCCTTTCTTCCCTTATTCCTGCTGCCATGTTCATTCAAACAGGAATATGAGACGCTGCTCTTTAATCCAAATAGTAATTTTACTTATTTCTAACAGAAACTAGGTAAGAAAAAGTGGTGAGATAAAAATTTTAATTTTCCATGTAAGGAGAATAAATGGCAAGGCATGGGTGTAAGGGTCGCGTTCACTGTGGGTTTTGGAAATAATCCTAGTTGGGTGATGGAAAAGCATAGACACTTAAGAGGGTTATTTCTGAACTTTGTTTTACCTTATGCTTTTTTTTTTTTTTTTCATGGATCACATTTATCTTGACCTCCTAGGGTGCTAAGGTTCAAACACTGTTCCCTTAACTCAGGAAGGGTAAAGCACTTAGCAGCAGGCTGCAAGACCTAAATACCCCTGGGGTCCTCACAGACAAGTGGCCACTGTTCAAAACTGCATGCAGGCCTCAAACCCTAAAGTAAGCCAGTTTCTCCCTTCAGACAACCTGTTCTGGTCTCTCTTGCAGAAAGCTGGACGCTACTATTTAAGGCTTGGGGATCAGACTGGGGTGTGTGTGTCCACCACCACTGTACTGTTTAAACTAAACCTGTGTTCTTTGTGACGAGGAGGATTTGAACCCTGGCACCTGGAAGGGCCTTCTGGGTGGGTGGTGGTGGGGTAATGTGCGGAAGGGGTTCACTAATCAGAGTCCACTGTCAGTAGGGTTAGCAGTGTTCCTTCTACCCCACAGCAAGTTCACCCAGGCTGGGGGTGGGGCGGGGAGGGAGGGTGTCGAGGGCTTGTGAAGTTCTCAGGCTGACATCCTCCAGCTCCAGGGTGCTGACCTCAGGGCAGGGGCACACCTGCCCAACAGGTAGCCAGCCCCACGAGCTGCGGGTTCGAGCCCCGCCTCGAGCGCCCCCAGCCCCCACGCCGCCCCGGGAACCCCGCGCCCGAGCCTGTGGCCTCCCGGGTCCCCCCGGGCCCAGCGCGGACTGGGGACCAGGAGCAGCGGACGGGAGCACGCTGAGACTACCCGGCCCCGCCGCGTCACGGGGAAGGAGTTACCGGGAAAGGGCACCGGCCGCAGCGTCCCTGCTCCAGTGAATCCGCCGGGCCGGGAGCTTCCCGTCTACACCTGCGCACACCAGGGCCCGGGGAGGGAAGGGCGAGGGGGAGCGTCCACGGCAGTCACGTGACACTTAAAGAGCCCGTACACCCTCCAGGTAGCGGCCACGTACGCGGCGAACCAGTTTTGATCCCGGCCATCTACCGTAGGCGCGTGGGCCTGGCGCGGCTGCTATAGCAACGAGGCGCGCTCTTTTGCTTAGGCCCGAAGGCGTGATCGTGACCAGCGAGACCGAAACGTACTTCCTAGAGAGGCCGAGTCGCTATGCAGCTCGGGATGCCAGGAAGACCTCCGGGATCCAGTGATGGGGTTTCCACGCCTACCCGGAGATTGCCCATGTCTAGCAACGGTTGCTAGGATGGGGAAGCAGCGGCTGGTCCCAGTTCTCTTTAACCCTATTCATAGAATTCTGGAGCGTCAGCGTTGGAAGGAACCTCAGGGATTTTTTTTTCTACTCCCACTTTTCCATGTACAAAGAGAGGTAGAGAGAGGGCCAGAGTCTAGAATCCCAGACTCCTGATTCTGATTACTAATAAGAGATCTCAACCCAAGAGTATGCCAGGCTGGATCTTAAGCACCGCAAAGGGGATGCAGGTGTGGGTGAGAAGACAAAGGTGCATAAGGGGCACTCGCTGTGAGCCAGTGACAGAGGTCCCTTGGGGATATATTTCCGGTTTCCCTGCATGATGTTTAGGTTTTTTTCATTTTCATTCTTGTTTTTGTTTTTGAGACAGGGTCTCACTATGTAGCCCTGGCTGGCCTGGAACTCTCTGTGTAGTGCAGGCTGACTTTGAACTCACAGAGATCCACCTGCCTCTGCCTCCCGAGGACTGGAATAGGTTTTAAATTTTTTATTTTATGTGTATGACTGTACTGACTGCATGCAAAAGTGCACCAGTGTCATGCAATGCCCCTGGAAGTCAGAAGAGGGCATCGGATCCCCTGGAACTAGAGTTATGGACAGTTGTTAGTCACTATGTGGGTGCTGGGAACCAAACCTCGGTCCTCTACCAGAGCAGTCAGTGCTCTTAACTGCTGAGCCATGTCTCCAGCCCGTTTTTTCTTTTTTAAATTATTTGCTTTTTATCACTTATCTGACATACAGTATCTTTTATTTATTCATATTATTAACTATCTCTTTCAGAAATGTAAGCCCCTGGAGGTAGGGGTTTCTTATCTGTATTCCAAGAGCCTGCAGAGGCCTTGGCACAGACAAGCTACAGATGAATATTTAAATATTTGCAAAATGAACAAAACAAAGGAGGCGCAGCTGCAGCACTGTGGTTTTTGCTTTCCAGTGCTGGAGAATGAGCTGAGGACTTCATGCATGCCAAGCACTGAGCTCTACGTCAGTCCCTGAAGCTAAGATTTCGATGCCCCAGTGACTATTTACAGGAGTTGGCTCTTTTGGACTGAGCTCCTCACTAGGCCCCACAAACCAGTATGGAGTCATTCATGCTAAAGTTTTCACCAAGTTGAAACTAGGTTATCTGAATGACTGAGAAATCAGGTGAAAGAGAGATAACTGCCAAATCTCTAAACTGTGTAGATGACATGATAAAGACATCTCTTTGCTTTTTTCCAGCTCTCCTGTAGGTAAAATCACTTCAACTGCTCAGGGCAATGTTCATTCTACTTTGTGGTCAATGCTCTGCCTGATGCTAGAATCTAGACCCAATTGTAATCTTGTCTTTTGACATAGTCCAAGGTAGGTGGGTTCTTGGTTAAGAGTGTAGTCAGGTTCAGGTTTTGAATCCTGCATGCTTCTGGTGGATTCCACTGGTGTGACCCCTCCCTGGTGCCACCCCTGAGTCATGTGCACATCTGTAAAACAAGGAAAGACTTACTTCCCTGACACAACAGTGGCATGGATAAATGGCCTAAGGCATGTAAAGTGGGTAGCACAGTGGATGGGGCTTAGTAAATACTCATTTATTTAAAAAAAAATCGGGGCCAGAGAGATGGCTCAGCGGTTAAGAACACTGACTGTTCTTGTAGAAGACCTGGGTTTGAATCCCAGCACCCACATGGCAGCTAACAACTGTCCATGACTCCAGTTCCAGGGGATCTGACAGCCTCTTCTGTCCTCCCCAGGCATTTCACAACACGGGTGCACTTACCTACATGCAGGCAATACAGGAATGCACATAAAATGAAAATAATAAATAAGCCGGGCGTGATGGTGCACGCCTTTAATCCCAGCACTCAGGAGGCAAAGGCAGGCGAATCTCTGTGAGTTCAAGACCAGCCTGGTCTACATAGTGAGTTCCAGGACAGCTGGGGCTACAGGGAGACCCTGTCTCAAAAAGACCAAAAATAAATAAATAAAATATATTTAAAAAAATCTAGCCGCAGGCAGATCTCCGTGAATTCAAGGCCAGCCTGGTCTACATAGTGAGTTCCAGGCCAGCTGGGACTACAGGGAGACCCTGTCTCAAAAACACCAAACAAACAAAAATCTAGCCTCGGGGCTGGAAAGATGGCTCAGTGGTTAAGAACAACTGGCTGTTCTTGCAGAAGACCTGGGTTTGAATCCTAGCACCCACACAGCAGCTAACAACTGTCCATAACTCCAGTTCCTGGGGATTTAATGGCCTCTGCTGTCCTTTGTGGGCATTGCACGACATGGGTGCACTTACATACATGCAGACAATACATACACATTAAAAAAAAACCCAAAAAAATCTAGCCTCAGGCACCTATCAGTGTCAAGTATGGATGGGCTCCATCCTATGAAGCAGACCTTAATCCACTAAGAAAGTTAGTTGGTTATACCTATAGTATTCATGCCACTATTGCACAAGTAGGGTTATCTTCCAGGCTAGTTACTGTAGCTCACAGGAGTCACACCTGGGTCAGGTCCATGCTAAAATTTCTCTTTAGGTAGCTTGCATAGCACCTTCTGGCACTCAAAACTAGGCAGGAGAGATGAGACTTTGAAGTCAGCACCAGCTTGATTTCTTCTTGTTTGTTCTACAGTTCATGTTTGTAGTGTCTTCAGCAATAGGGTCTTACCAGGAAGTTCTGGTGGGTAACCAAGAGCAGGGGCAATGGCCTGTATTGTTTGAGGGTCTGTGAGACCCCGGCCCACAGCTTCAAAAGAAGCTGGGCTTTTTCCTGGCATTGGGCTTTTACTTTACAAGCCTATGGTGTCTAGTAGGGGCCTGCCATGCTCATGGATCAGTAAGCTTAATATTGTGAAAATGGCCAGACTACCAAAAGCAGTCTATGAATTCAATGCAATACCTATTAAAATTCCAGTTCACAGACATTGAAAAAATAACCTCAGATTTCATATAGAAACACAAAAAAACCAGAATAGTCAAAATAATACTTAATGATAAAGGAAACAGTGGAGGAATTACTGTCCCTGATCTCAAATTGTAGTACAGAGCTATAGTAATAAAAACAGCATGGTACTGGTATAAAAACACAGTGATCAGTGGAATAGAATTGAGGACCCAGATTTAAACCCATGAATTTACAGCTGCCTGATTTCTTATTTTATTTTATTTTATTTATTTTATTTTTTTTTGGTCTTTTTGAAGCAGGGTCTCCCTGTAAGCCCCAGCTGTCCTGAAACTCACTATGTAGACCAGGCTGGCCTTGAACTCACAGAGATCTGCCTGCCTCTACCTCCCAAGTGCTGGGACTACAGGTGTGTACCACCACGCCCGGCTCTTATTTTATTTTATTTTATTTTATTTTATGTGTATGAATGTTATGCCTGCATGCATGGAAGTGAACCCATGTCATGCAGTGCCCATGGAGGCCGGAAGAGTACGTTAGATCCCCTGGAACTGGAGTTACAGGCAATTGTTAGCACCCATGTGGGTGCTGGCATTTGAACCCAGGTCTTCTACAAGAGCAGCCAGTACTCTTAACTGCTGAGTCAGTCATCTTTCCAGCCTCTAGACACCTGATTTTTGACAAAGGAGACATACAGACTGGAAAAAAGACAGCATGTTCAACAAATGTAGCTGGTCAGACTGGATAGCAGCATGTGGAAGAATGAAACTAGATCCCTATTTCTCACCATGCCCAAAACTCAACTCAAAAGGGTCAAGGACTTCAACAGAAGACCTGATACCCTGAATCAGATAGAAGAGAAAGTAGGGAATACATTGGGACTTATAGACACAGGAAAGGACTTTCTGAACAGGACTCCTGTAGCATAAGCATTAGGTTCAACAATTGATAGATGGCCCACATGGGTTCTGTGCAACAAAGAATGTATCATCATAGAGTGAAGGGACAACCTACAGAATGGGAAAAGTCTTTACCAGCTATACCTCTGACCAAGGGTTAGTATCTAGAATATACAAACAACTATAAAAAATTGCCAGGCGTGGTGCCGCACACCTTTAATCCCAGCACTCAGGAGGCAGAGGCAGGCAGATCTCTGTTGGGAGCTATTAATCCATTATGTACATTGAGCTGTGGCAGGCTTGCTTGTTTACTTAGGGTTTGTGTTTTGACCTAATCTGCCAAGTCAGGAGGAATGTGTTTATATGGTGGAGTTCACAAGTATTTGACAGCTCCTTGACCCTCAGATACAGGTGGGGAAAACAGCTGTTGAAACTAATTGAGTTCTTCTGTATAAAAAGGCGGAGCTTAAATAAACTGGGGCTGCTGTAGTCTCTACTGACAGTCCTCCCAAGTATCTTTTCTCTGCCTCTTGTTTTTTTTTCTTTCAATCCTTACTCCCCCTTTCAGGTACTGTCCCTCTTGGCTGGCTGGCACCGGCAAGTGGCGCCTGGAACGGGGACCTGAAAAGTAGGGGAAAAAGTGAAGGACACCGCTGGAGAAATTGAGTGCACTCGGTACAATTGGGGAGTGGTGAGTATTTATCTTGGGAGAAGATGGGGCAAGGAAACAGTTGCTTGCTCTTTGTACATATGTTAAAGAATATCCTGTGGGCCTGAGGAGAAAAGGAACTTTTATTCATCCGACTCATACTTTAAACTGAAGATTATTGATATTACTCCAGGTTTTTTGGATCCTTTAACTGGACAATGGAATGGCCCTGACCCTGTATTTATATGGGGAAGAGGGCATGTTTGTGTTTTTCCGCAGGACGTGGATGGAGCCAGATGACTGCCGGAAAGGCTGGTGAGGTTCGCCGGACGAGCACCAGAAAGAGAAGTGGAAAAGAATGATGAGGTGGCAAACGTGGCTGATGATGATGGTCCCACAAGTGATCTTGGCTGAGTTATACTGGACTTATGTTCCTGATTGACCGATACTGCACCCCGTGATATGGGAGGAAAAAGAGATAATAGTGACTGTGAATGACTCTTGGTTAATTGCTCAGCCTGCTTTGAAACACCTGATGATGCAAGTGGTGACGAATTTTTATTATTTGGGATCGGGAAGGGGGTTGCCTATTTGTTAAAAATGATAAGTCCGGGTTTGTACAAGTAGATGACTGTGTGCTTGTGGGACGAGGTGGATACTGTACCAATGTCGAAGTGTTATTGCCAAGAGATAATAGAGAAAAAAAATTTCTCCGCGAGCAGTGGCAGATATTCTAAAAAGGTTGAGAGCCACCTTACCATCGTGGTCCTCCATCACTTCCATTGTGTATGGTTTAGTGGGACTTGGCATGCTTTTCCTCCTATGTCTTTGTTTTCATCTGGTGGCAGTAAAGTTATTTATGAAATCCTGTGGCAAGTCAAGGCTGCTGTGCATGATATGAGATTGCGCTCCCTCCCCTAACAGAGGCTGGTAGTCAAAGACGGGTAAGATCTTCTGGGAGAAAGTCAACCTAAGACAGGGCGTAGCTGATGGAAGTTATGTGCTGATGACGGGTAAGGCTTTGCTCCAGCAGAAGACAACCTAAGACAGGCATGGTCCTTCTGTCTTGGATATAGCATAATCTGGGGTTATAAAAAATAAAAAAGGGGGAGATGTTGGGAGCTATTAATCCATTATGTACATTGAGCTGTGGCAGGCTTGCTTGTTTACTTAGAGTTTGACCTAATCTGCCAAGTCAGGAGGAATGTGTTTATATGGTGGAGTTCACAAGTATTTGACTGCTCCTTGACTCTCAGATACAGGTGGGAAAAACAGCTGTTGAAAACTAATTGAGTTCTTCTGTATAAAAAGGCAGAGCTTAAATAAACTGGGGCTGCTGTAGTCTCTACTGACAGTCCTCCCAACTATCTTTTCTCTGTCTCTTGTTTTTTTTCTTTCAATCCTCACTCCCCCTTTCAGGTACTGTCCCTCTTGGCTGGCTGGCACCGGCAAGATCTCTGTGAGTTCAAGGCCAGCCTGGTCTACATAGTGAGTTCAAGGACAGCTAGGGCTACAGGGAGACCCTGTCTCAAAAAGAACCCCCCCCCAAAAAAATTGGGGCAAGGTGATGAATATGGAGTTATCTAAAGATGAAACACAGGTGGCTGAGAAATACTTCTAAAAAAAGTTCAACATTTTTAGTTATCTGGGAAATGAAAATTAAAATCACTTGGAGAGTTCATCTTACCTCTATCAGAATGGCTAAGATCCAAACAATAGCAAAAGCTCAGGGAAATGTGGGAAAAGGGGAGCTCTTATCCACTGCTGGTGGGAGTGCTTCAAGGGGCGCAACCACTATGGAACTCAGTGTGGCAAGTCCTCAAAAAGCTAGACATGGATCTACCATTTGATCCAGTCCTTCACTTTTAAGCCATGGAAATGAAAGACTAGATTTCTGCCAGTTTTTTTTGTGGGACGGGCTAGGGAGGGATGATGGAAGATTGGCTATGTATGAGTCCAATTTAGCAAGTGCAGCTGGGAGGGGGTCTTTAGGTTTTATTGGCTGCAGAGGGCTGGAATGTTGTGGGACAGACTATGGCTCTAAGCATGGCTTTCTTTCCCTCTTCCCTGGCGGGTGTGACCTTCTGAGTGTCTGTAAAAGCAGAGAGACTGTAAATTCTGGCAGAGCAGTTGCAGCAGGCCTGGAAGAGGCACCACAATTGCAGAGCAGTACCTACTTGGAAACGGGTCCAGGACGCAGCTGTAGTGCCTGGAGCACAGTCCCAGGGAGCAGAGTCCCAGGCCCTGGGGGCGGGGCAGCGGAGAGGGGGCGGGGCTCGAAAGTGGAGTCAGCGATGAGGGGCGGAGCCACGACGGGGCGGGCCTGACTGCTAGCAAGGGGCGGGCGGAGTCACCATGAGGGGGCGGGGCCTTAGTGCTAGGTACGGAGGGGGAGGAGCCAACAAATGGGGCGGGGCCTGAGGGCAATGGGGCGGGCGTAGCTGCGACGCGGGCGGGGGCGGGGCCCGAGAGAAGGTAGCGACGTAAGGGGAGCCGAGAAGCGGCGCAAGGGCGGGACCTGAGTGCGAACGAGGGGGCGGGGCCTGAATGGGGGCGAAAAGGGCAGAGCCACGATGAGGGGGCGGGCTTGGGAGGGGGGTAGCCAAGTCCCGGGGGCGGGGCCTGAAAGGGGCGATTAGGTGGGCGGAGCCACGATGAGGGGGCGGGGCCCGAGTGCAGGCTAGAGAGGGGCGGAGCCAAGACGCGGGTGCGGGGCCTGAGAGAAGCTCGAGACTCGGGCGGCCCCGTGACGGGAGGGCGGGGTCTGAGTGCGTGCGAGGGGGTGCAACAACGACGCAGGGACGGGGTCTGAGAGAAGCCAGCGAGGTGGGCGGAGCCACGGTGCGGGGGTGCGGGGTTCTGAGAGGGAGGAAGGCGCAGCAGAGACGCGAAGGGCGGGCTTTGGGGCGGTGCGAAGGTGGCGGAGCCGAGTGTGGGCGGAGCGATGGCTCTCTGGCCACGCCTTCTATAGCGGGATCCGGGCTAGGGCGGTGTGGAAGTGGGGTGCGGGGCGGGGCATGAGGTGTGGTTCCTGGGGCGGGACCTCGGAAACGGGCGGGTGGCGGACCAGAGGCCCGGAAGCGGACGGAATCCCCGCGTTCCGCCCTGCAGAGGGTCGTCATGGACGAGGCCGACCGGCAGGTGCTGCGGCGGTACCGGGTGCGCCTGGTGGGCGAGCTGCAGGTCGCCCCGCTCTGGGATGCTCTGCTGAGTCGGGAGCTTTTCACGCGCGACATGATCGAGGACATTCAGGTGCGTCCGGCCCCGCGCAGCCTGCGTCCCCGCCTCCTGCAGCATATGGACAGGGAGGCCTCGCTGAGGGTTGCTGACCCACCACCCGGCGCCCGCCCTCCTCTCCCGTGGTGCATCTTTGGGAACACCTTTCAAACCCCGTTTTCGGGTATTGAGGTCACTTAATCCTCTAGCGAAGCCAAAGAACCCCAAGCACCTCTTTACGGAATGTTTGCTAAAGGCCTGCACCATAGCATATGCTGTTGATACTTGTGTTTTATAGAGGAGAGAGACGTGTGCTTTTCCTTCTACCCACGTTTTTGGCACTGGTTCACGGTGCCAGTCACCTATCTCAGTTTCCTGGACTGTGAAATGGAGCAATAACCCTTAGCCGAAGGGCTAAGTGTGAAGCAGTAACGTCAGGCACAGTTAGGTCCTAAGAGCCCAGCATGCCCTGACCTCTCTGGCCAGGCCTTTAGGTATGAGTGTATTTCCTAAGGGATTTTGTAAAACAAGGGACTTTGCAAGTAACAGAAGAATAAAGTAAAACATCAGATTTTTAAATTTTTATTTTAGACCAGGTCTCAAAAAAGCTGTAGCCTCAGCTTGCCTGGAACTCCCTATGAAGACCAGGCTGGGATCCTATACCAGGCTGGGATCCACCTGCCTCTGCCTCCTGAGTGCTGGGATTAAAGGTGTTGGCAACCGCTTTCAGCCAAACATTTGATTAAAAAAAAACAACAAAAAAACCCCACAAAAGCCCTTTAGTGCTTTTGCCCTAGTTGATCACTCGCTATAGGTCTGAGAAGGGACGATTTCCTGCAGTGAGGTGTGCTGGGAATGAGTGGCAGTCCCATGCCCTCTGGCTTGGTAGCCTATTTCTAGCCTTTGGTATCATCCAGCACCTTCTCTTGGCCCAGTGAAGGAGAAATAGCAGAAGGTGGCCCAGTGTTATGTAATTAATTACTGGTTAATAACAAAAGGAGCCTCTGGAGCACCCTCTGATCAGGGAAAGTAGTTTGAAGGCAGTGACCTTCAAGTTGAACTGCCCAAGGAGGCCACAGGGTAGGCACTGGCAGCCTCTGCCTTGCCCCTTTCTCCATCTAAGTGTGGTCAAGAAGCATGCTCGCCTGGTGTTGACAGATTGTGAACACTTGTAAAGAATGGCTGGTCCCAGGAGTAGTGGTGGCACATGCCTGTATCCCAGCACTCAGGAGGCAGAAGCAGGAGAATCAAGAGTTCAAGGCCATCTTTGACTATGAATGGAGTTTGAGACCAGCCTGGGCTATATGAGACCCAGTCTTCAAAAACCAAAACCAAATATCAGATGTAGGTCATTTGGAAGAGTGCATGCCTAGCATGCTTGAAGCCCTGGGTTCAGTCCTCAGGCTTGGTAGCTCAGGAGGCAGGAGGATCAGAAGTTGAAGGTCATCCTCAACTACATAAGAAGTTGGAGGCCAGCCTGGGCTAGTTGAGACTCTCACTCTTCCTTCAAACTCCTCATTCCCTCCCCCCCCAAAAAAAACTTCCCAAGAAGAAGAGAGGCTGGAAATCTTGAATTTTGTGTCCAATTCCCTGACTTAAATTGTTAATAAATTTAGGAATTTTTGATCTTCTTGTGTAAATCACAGGCCTCCATTTTGCTACCTTTGGTAGGGCCCATAGACACTTGGCACAGTGCTGAGCACATAGTAGATGCCTTTGACGTACTGCAAAGGTTGCAGAGGAGCATGCACTCAGTGCACGGCAGGCTGCTTTCTGCCTACATGCCTGGTTGTCTAGGGTTGTGATTAGGATGAAGAGGGGGAGATGGGGTGAAAGAGCCACTTGAAAGTCCCTGGGTAATAAATGTCTGGTCTTTCTGTTCAAACAGCGGGCAGGCTCTGGGTCTCGGCGGGATCAGGCCAGGCAGCTGGTCACAGACCTTGAGACCCGAGGGAAGCAGGCCCTTCCTTTGTTCATCTCCTGCTTAGAAGACACTGGCCAAGACACACTGGCTTCATTCTTGAGAGTTAGTCGGCAAGCAGTGAAGCAAGACCCAGAAGCCTTCAGACCTCTAGACCTGGAACCTGTGGTCCTGGGACAAATGGGCCTCCAACCAAAGGAGCTGGGAGTACCAAAGCTGGGTCCACCGCAGCCTTCCCCTGGAAACCTCACCGCAGTGCTGCTGGGGCCAGAAGCACTCTGCCCTGCTCAGCTCAGGCCAGAGGTTCTCAAACCAGAAACACCCAAGCCAGTGGACATTGGTTCTGGCAGAGCCCGTGATGTCTGTGAGTACCGAGAGAATGGGTTGGTGGGTAGGCGAGTTGAGTGGTCATCGTGGTGTGACTGGATACGACTGGGTGGGCCGAGATTCAGAATTTAATTCTGATATTTGTTACTAGTGAGTGCTCGTAGGAGATGGGTGGATATTCCAGTCAGTCTTCAGGAGATATAATTTTGGTGGCCCATCCTCTGAAAAGTGAGTGCCCAGGTCTGTTTTTGATGTTCCTAGTTGCTATGAGTGTCCCTAGAAGGAGCTGTTGCTCAGGTTTGCCTTTGGGTTCTGCTGCACACGAAGCTGATGTGTGTAGCTGCTCATGTCTGGCAGGCAGAGGGCGGGGGGGGCTCTGTTAGGAGTCTGTCCTGTGGACACATATATCTCATGGTGTGTACTCCTACCCTCCTTCCTCCCAGCAACCTTGCAAGGCAGGTATCATTTGCCTCAACCCTGTCATCAATGAATCCGAGGCCCAGTAAGGTGAAATTGCCTCAGGTGACAAGGCCTCAGTATGCAATCAAATGCATAACCCCCTAGAGTACAGCTGGATAATTTTTACCTGTATCTACACAGAGGTATCCACCACCATACCAACACATTGCAGGGCACTCTGGTAGCTTAGGAGACTCTCTCTATTCAGTCAGTACCCCCACCTGAGGAGTCACTATTCCAGTTTCCATCTATCACCATCTGTTGCTTTTGCTTATCCTTGAACATCAATGTAAGTAAAAGCCTACCTTACAAGCTCTGCTGAGTCTGGCATCTTTCACCCATCATATCTCTGCAATTCATTCAAACTGTGGTGCCTGTCATCACTTCTTCGTTGCTAGGTGGTAGTAATACCTATTCTGAATAATCTGCAGTTTATATCCCCCCTTTGTGTTCCGTGTTTATAGTTGTGTGTGTGTGTGTAGGTCAAAGGACAGCCTTGAGTGTCCTCCCTTAGAAGCTATCCACTGCCTTATTTTTTATTTAATTTTAATTAATTAATTTTATTTTATATGTATGAGTGTTTTGTCTGCATGTATATAAGTGTACCCATATCATACAATGTCTGTAGATGCTAGAAGATGGTGTTGGAGCCCCTGGAACTGGAGTTGAGGACAGTTATTAGCCACCATGTGGGTGCTAGGAACTGAACTTGGGGCCTCTGCAAGAGTAGCCAGGGCTCTTAATCACTGAGCTATCTTGCCAGCCCCCTTCCCCTTATTTTTTGAGACTGAGACTTACTGATTAACCAGTAAGTTACTGGTTACTGACTGACCAGTGAGCCCCAGGGATCTTCCTGTTTCTGCCTCCTTGGTGCTAGAATTGCAAGTATGTGTCACCACCATGCCTGCAGGTTTTTTTTTTTTAAGATTTTAAAGTAATTTTTTCCTGTGTATGAGTGTATCATCTGCATGTATGTAAGTGCACCTATGTTGTACAATACCTTAAGAGGCCAGAAGAAGGCATTGAGTCCCCTGGAACTGGAATTTTGGACAGTTGTTAGCTGCCATATGGGTGTTGGGAACCAAACCTGGGTTCCCTGCAAGAACAGCTAGTGGTCCTAACTACTGAGCCATCTCCGCAGCCCCTATCCTGGGATTTTTTAAACGTGGATTCTTGGGATGGAACCTCAGGGCCTCATCTTATATGCCAAGCACTTTGCCCAATGAGCTGTCCCTATTCTTTTTCTTTTAATATTTTATTTATTATTTTTATTTTATGTGTGTGAGTGTATTGCCTCCATGTCATGCAATGCCCCTGGAGGTCAGAAGAGGGTGTCAGATCCCCAAGAACTGGAGTTAAGGACAGTCAGCTGCCATGTGGGTGCTGGGAATCAAACCTGTTTCTCTGCAAGAGCAGTCAGTGCTCTTAACCTCTGAGCCAACTCTGTGGCCTGCCATGTCTGTTCTTAATGTTGATGGACACCTGGGTTATGGTTAGCAAGGACTTTGTTTCCACCTGCAGCAGGTGAAGATTTAGTGCTTCTGTTTTCATGATTGCCTAGGGGACCATTGTGTGGTGTGGATGTTAATGCTGATTGTGGCACTGTTCAGAGTACATGCATAAGGGCTTGAAGTTCAGCTTTCCAGTTCTCTTGTGAAGCAGGTGCTACGATTTCCCCATTTTACTACTGAGCAAAGTGAGTCACAGACCTTCAGATCATGCAGTTAGTGGGAAATGGAAACGGGTCTCATGGTTCCTCTTGTCTACTGTAGCACTATGTAACTCCACATGTGCCTTCCCCTGTGTCATTTTATCAACCCCTGCTGATGGAGCTGCTGTTTCTGTGGCCTAGCATGTGCATCTCTCTGGCTCCGGGACAGGTTTCTGGAAAAGGACTTGTGGGATACATGGAGTTAATGGATACATGCTCCCTTCTGATAAACACTACCAATTTATATTTAGAAAGTGTGGTATGTGGCCTGGGGATGTAGCTCACCTGCCAGAGTGCTTGCTTAACATATACAAAGCCTTGGGTTCCATCCCCAGTACTGCATACACTGAGCATAGTGGTGCATGCCTGTAATCCTAGCCCTGGGGATGGAGGCAGGAGGATCAGAAGTTCAGGGTCATCCTTGGCTACATAGTTCCAGGCCAGCCTGTGCTATATGACAGCCCATCTTAAAAACAAACTAGTATGTGGGACTAGAGAGATGGCTCCTGTCTCTGCTTCCTGTCTTGCTATAGGAGTGCTGGGATTGCAGGCACATGATACTTCATCCAGCATTATGTGGGTTTTGGTGACCCAAACTCAGGTCCTCATACCTGCATGGTAAGCTCTTTACCCAGTGAACCATCTCCTTAGCTCCTTGGAAGGTATTTTATTTCCTGTTTGATGTGAATGTTTATTCCTAATAGGGGCCCAGTTCTAAGGATAAATAACAGTACTGGACTGGGAGTGTAGCTCATTGCTAAAGCGATTGCTTTGCCTGGGCTCTGGATTCAGACCACAGCACTGACAAAAATTCCAATAAGATCACTTTACATGTGACTATCACAGTGCTTTTTCAAATTGTCAAAACTATGCACCATGCAGTGGTAGGCAGAGAAAGCCCTTATCCACACTGATAGGGGAGGAAGCTCAGCTTTGAGAGCAACAGTCACAGAGGGAGTTCAAGTGCATAGCCAGGATATCTTCTGTTTCAATGGAAGACTGCCCCTTGATGCTGGGTGATACTTGTTTTGGTGCTGGGGGTGAGGCTCATGGATTCTGCCTAGGCATGTTTCCCAAGGTAGGTTTATTAGTGACTAGAAGAGTTTAAAGTCATAAATGTGGGGAAATCTGGGCAAGCAGGAGCTGGGCCACCAATGGGGCTTGGCTGAGCTTTTACAAGACTCACGTAGGGAAGGGTGCTGTAGACCAGTGCTGTACTGGGGATGATTTTACATCCCTCTCTGGGATATTTGGCAGTGTAGAGAGACATATCTAGCTGTTGGAGCTGAAGGTGGGCAGGTGGTGCTGGCATCTAGGGGGTAGAATCCAGGGATGCTGCTAAGCATCCTCTGGTGCACCAGACAGCCGTTGGACTAGAGGTGTAGCTCAGTGATAGAGCATCTGACTAGCACAAGACAGCCATCTACAATAAAGAATACATGCCTTTAACCTCAGCACTAGGGAGGCAGAGACTGGTGGCTTGCTCTCTGAGATCAAAAACAGCCTAGTCTGCACAGGGAGTTCCAGGCTAGCTGGGGAAAGCAAACAAAACAAGCAAAGAAAGATCCGTCTTAAGATTTGGGGCTGAGCCGAACTTGGTGGCTCACACTTTTAGTCCCAGCACTCAGGAGGCAGAGGAAGAGGCAGGTGGATCCCTGTGGGTTCAAGGCCAGCCTGGTCTATATAATGAGTTCCAGGCCAGCTGGGGCTCCAGGGAGACCCTGTCTCAAAAAAAAAAAAAAAAAAAAAAAAAAATTGGGGGCTGGAGGGATGGCTTAACAGTAAAGAGCACTGGATACTTTTCCAGAGGATCTGGTTCAGTTCCTAGCACCCACATGGGGGCTAACAACTATCTGTAATTCTAGTTTTGGGGGAACCTGATGGCCTCTTCTGGCCTCCTTGGGCATTGCATGGGCGCACTTACATACATGCAGGTGAAACACGCATAAAATAAAAATAAATAGTTGCTTATAAAAAGAACATTTATATGTTATAAAAAGAACAATTGGGTTCAGGAAATAAGGCCAACAACAAGTAGAAGCTCATAAAATTAAAAAGCTTCTGCATAGGCAAAGGAGGAAATGACTTGAGTGACAAGACAACCCTACTGAAGTAAAAACTGACTGACTCTGAGGACAGATGACCATCTTTGCTTATTTCTTTATTCTGCATATGTTTCTGAAGGACCTACTGTGTGCTGTGCCCCAGGGACCCTGTAGTCAGGGAGCATGCACTGCCTGGATGCCCCCGTACTTCCTCTGTTCTGAGGTTTCTTATGAATGGAATCACACCATGTTTACCCTATGGCGTCTGCCTAACAGAGCCTTGTGTGTTCCATGCTACCTAGGGCATTGCATTTATCAGAAGCTGGTTTCTCTTTAGGATGGTCCCTTGAGGGACTAAATCACAGTTTTGGGGCTTTTGAATAAGGCCTCAGTGAATGTTCTTGGCCAAGCCTTTGCAAAGGTCTGGGTATGTGTTTAACTTTGTTGGTACTTTCTGGACACTTCCCTGTGGTGGCTGTGCTGCTTGATTCTCCGGCTAACAGGGCCTGGTGTCCCATGGGCTCTACTTCTCTCTGTGATGTGAGCTGTCCTCACAGCACCTTGACCTTGCCACGCTGAAGTCCAGCATCCACATTTCCCTTTTTCTCTGTCTTTCCAGGTGCTCCAGAGAGGCTGAGGGGAAATGCAGATTTGGTGAGTCCTCATGTGGTTTGAGTTCATTTTTCCCCAGGTCTTCGTGGCTAAGCTAGGACCTGAGGGAACCCTGCTTGGCTGGGAAGTGAGGTTCCAGTCCCCACCCTCTGTGGGTCCTGACCCCAGCCAGAATTTGCTGGAGCACACTGTCCCACCCTCTCTCTGCCCCTGTAAAGTCAGGGCTCAGACCTAATGGGGGGCAGACAGCCATGTTAACTAGGGTGTCCACTCCACTGCAGGCCGCTCAGGCTGCCCTTCCCACATATGCATTGCGTGGCTCCCATGTGCCTGCCGCTCCAGGCTCCATGCTGGGGATGAGACCATGCTGTGGAGCTGTGTGCAGGGGAGAGAAAAGTAAGGCAAAGGGGTATACAAATACAAAGAGTGGGAAGAACCATAAACCAGAACAGGCCGCCAGGAGCCTAAGTCTGGGGTGGAAGCCACCTCAGGAGCTCAGAGGGTGAGTCCTGGCCTGAGACCACAGTCACAGGACATACCACACACTCCTCAGTTGAGCCCCTGGGCCAGCGCCACCAGGTTGTGTGACCTTTGAAGTCCTTTTGAGGTGAACGTGTGTGGGTTGTTGGATTTTTTTTCTTTTTGTATTTTTTTTTAAAGTTATTTTATGTGTATGAGTGTTTTGCCTACATGTATGTAGATGTAACACTTGTGTACAGTGTCCATGGAGACCAGAAGAGGGTGTTAGATCTCTGGAACTGGAGTTATAGACAGTTGTTAGTTGCCATTGTGGGTCCTGGAAATCAAACCTGAGTCTTCTGCAAGAGCAGCCAGTGTTCTTAGCTGTTGGGTCATCCTGAGACAATGTTTTACTCTTTAGCTCAGGCTGGCCTGGAAATCACAATGAAGCTCAAAGTTCACTTTGAACTTGTAACCTTGCTGCCTCGGCCTCCCTGGTCCTTAGGTGGATTATGGGCTTTCCCCTCCCTGGGTGCTAAGATGGCAGCCAGTCATTGTAGTATGCGGGCACAGACCCAACACTTGCCCAGCTGTTCCTCTGGGTTGTCTCTCTGGATTGCTGAGTGGGGACCCTACTGTTCCCTCAATGGGAGGGCAGACCCCACATCCCATGTCAGTTCTCCAGATTCAGTCACACCAGCGAGATCCAGGGATTGCCTCCTCTCCTGAGGAGTGTGCTGAGCCCCCAGGTGACGCTGGAAACCCATGCTTGGACAGGCATACGTCATGGATGCAGACCCCTGCGGCCACTGCCTTATCATCAACAACGTGAACTTCCACCCTGCCTCAGGGCTCAGCACGCGCACTGGCTCCAATGTGGACTGTGAGAAGCTACAGCTCCGTTTCTACCGGCTGCATTTCATGGTTGAAGTGAAGTGTGACCTGACCACCAAGGTATAATTGCTGTCTTCTGTGAGACACCCCCAGACCAGCCTTTATGCCTGTAGAATTGTGGGAGGCTATATGGCCAGCTGGTTACAGGTTCAAGCATCAGACGTAGAGAAAGAGGGTCTGAAGAGCGGCCTGCCATTTGACTGCTTATGCCTCAGTTTCCCTCTTTAGAAAGCAAGAGTAACCCTTCTAGGGTTGTCGTGGGGAGTAAATGATCATTGCCCACACCCAGCACCTTTCCCTGAAAGTAGTGCCACAATGTTGTGACCATTGTGACCATCACAGCTTCATTATTGGGGAGCAGAGTGCTAAGCCCTAGCCTTTCACTAGATCATGGAACACAGACCTCCATTGCTGCCTCTGCCTCACCTGCGGCCTTCCCTTGTAGGAAATGGTTGCAGTCCTGGTGGAGATGGCGCAGCAGGATCACCATGCCCTGGACTGCTTCGCGGTGGTCATCCTCTCGCATGGCTGTCAGGTAGGAGGCCTTTCTCTTCCTGATTTGCTCCTTGACAGGCACTGGTAGAGGCTGCCCAGAGAGACCCTGCAGCAGCTCTGTCCCTTCCTGTGCCCATGGCACCCTTAGCTTGTCCTGTCCCCCTCCTCTGGCCTCAGGACCCTGTGGTCCTCTGAGGAGCTGCCTGTGCCTGCCTGGGTTGGAGGTAGATGGGGAAGTCCTGTCCAGGGCAGAGAGGGAGGAGGCGAGACCTGCTCACAAAGCTTTTTCTCCTACATTTTCTTCAGAGCTGCGTGCAGCTAAACTTGAGTTCTGCATTCCTACTGTGCCCCATGAGGATGTTCCAGGCTCTTTGCTGTTGGGTAGAACACAGGATATAGTGATTCATCTGAGGCTCTTGTGGCTAAGACCCTACTCCCGTCCAGGTCTCAAATCCCCTCTCTCTTAAGTTGAGGTGTTGGAGGCACTTACAGCCAAGCCTGGCAACCTGAGTTTGATCCCTGGAACCCACGTGGCAGAAGGAAGGTGAAAGATGAATCCCGCGAGTTATCTTCTGACTTAATTAAAGCACGCAGGCACTCATGTCCACGTACACAAAATAAGTAACTGTGGCTGGGCGCGGTGGTGCATGCCTTTAATCCCAGCACTTGGGAGGTAGAGGCAGGCAGATCTCTGTGAGTTCAAGTCCAGCCTGGTCTACATAGTGAGTTCCAGGACAGCTGGGGCTACAGGGAGACCCTGCCTCAAAAGAAAGACAAAAAAAAAAAAAGTAACTGACGAAAAATGAGTTTTGAGTTGGATAGATCCACAGTCCCAAGCTGGGGGCCTGGAGGCTTTCTGTAGCTTTCACGTTGTTTTCAAAGCTGGCAATTCTCACACACAGAAAAATCAGTTTTGGCTTCTTTTGCAGAATAGTTCCCCATGGTCAGGGTGGGAGAGATAGCTCAGTGGTTAAGAGGACCAGAGTTCAGTCCCCAGTACCACATTGGGTGGCTCACAACTGCCTGTAACACCAGCTCCAGGGGATCCTATGCCGCCTTCTGGCCTCTCCAGGCACCCACCTGCACATACACATACCCACATACATAGTTAAAAAAGTAAAATAAATCTTAAAAAAAGAAAAACCAGCCCATCGTCTAGCCTGAACGGAACAGCATCCTCACAGAGCAAGCTGTGCTGTCACCACAGCCTCTTTCCCTTTGGCTGTTTCTCTCAGTGTAGTATTCCCTGGGACCTATAGTTCTCAGGCCCCACCATGGACCTCTGCAGTGTTCAGTTTGCATTTTGACAAAGTCCCCACGTTGCTCCTGTGCTTGGAGATTTGAGCAGAATTGACTCAGAGCAGGGCTACCCTGCATGTAGCTGCCTCAGAGGGGCTGGAGGACCAGGTGGCCGATTTTAGTGGTATAGGTGGAGCCTAGGAACCCTGCTGGTCCTGGGAATGCAGTATGGGAGCTCTTGATCTAGGTAGGGCTGACCTATACTCACTGGCTCCCATAGTTAATAAGTTTAGGACCCCTGGAGCTCTGAGCCAGTCTGGTGCACCTGCCTAGGGTCTTCTGAATACATGGCTCATACAAAACCTTGGGACAGGCCTATAGAGTACTAGCCCAGAGTCTTGTTTTTTTTTTTTTTTTTTTAAGGTTTATTTATTTTTTACATTAGGTGTATGCCTCCATGTATGTATGTACACCATTGCATGTGCAATGCCCATGTGAGCCAGAAGAGGGCATTGGGACCCCTCAAACTGTAGTTATGGATGGTTGTTAGCCATTATGTAGGTGCAGGGAACTGGACCTAGGTCCTCTGCAAGAACAGCAAACACTCTTAACCTCTTAACTGCTGAGCTATCTCTCCAGCCCCAAAAGTTTTTTTTTTTTTTCTTTCTTTCTTTCTTTCTTTGAGATAGGGTCTCCCTGTAGTCCCAGCTGGCTTGGAACTCACTATGGAGACCAGGCTGTCCTTGATCTCACAGAGATCTACCTGTCTCTGCTTCCTGAGCGTGGGGATCAAAGGCGTGTTTTCCACCACACCCTGCTAATGTCTTGCTTTTTTTAGTCATGTTTCTTTGTCCTCTAGGCCAGCCACCTTCAGTTCCCAGGTGCTGTCTATGGCACAGATGGGTGCTCTGTGTCCATTGAGAGAATTGTGAACATCTTCAGTGGGACCAGCTGTCCCAGTCTGGGCGGGAAGCCCAAACTCTTCTTCATCCAGGCCTGCGGTGGGGGTAAGTGGCCTCTCAGCCTCCTGTGAGTGCAACTGACAGGAGAAACCACGTCCGTCCCTTCTCACACAACCCCTCCATGTGTCCATGGGGTTCCCCCACATGGTTGGAGGGTCCCAAACATGTCACTGTGTGTGGCAGCACTGCCATCCAGCCAGCATAGGTCCAGTATCATCTGGTTTGAGGGGGTTGCTGCAGTGGAGTCACAGGCTTGTGTGGCTTTGATGACCTGAACTGCAGAGTTTTGAGAAAAACAAAGCAAGGCTTGGGGAATAGCTCCACCCATAAAGCACTTGCCACATAAGCATGAAGTTCTAAGTTTGATCCCCGGTGCTCAGGTAAAAAGCCAGGCACAGTGATACCTGTATCCTTAGTGCTGGGGAGATAGAGACAGCAGAATTCCAAGAGCTCTCTGGCCAGCTAATCTGTTGCCTCATTGGTGAGTCCTGGTTCAGTGAGAGTCCCTGTCTCAAAATAACCAAGATGAGAGCTGGTGTGGTGGCACACACCTTTAAACCCAGAAAAGCTAAGTGGATCTCTGTGAGCTCAAGCCCAGTTTGGTCTACATAGCAAGTTCTAGGCCAGCTGGGGCTACAGGAGAGTCTGTCTCAATAAAACAAACAAGGTGAAAAGTGACTGAGGAAGAAACCTGCTATTGACCTCTGGCCACTGCATGCCTGTACATACATGTGCACTTGTGTACATGTGCCCACATGAACACATAAATAAAGCAAAGGAGAAAGTGGGAAAAAAACTTGCAGTTTTACTTGTTATAATTCACCTGACCTCCTTAGTAAGACCCCATTTCCACTGTCCCAGGTAAGCTCACTGATCTTCAAGAGAAACTAAGGAATTTAATTACTGGAATTTAATTACTGGAAACTAAGGAATTTAATTAATTAATTAATTTCCAGATGTCCATGATTGGCATATCTTTAATTTGGAGTTTATGTTCTGTGTCTTAGTTTGTTTTCTGTTGCTTTTAACTGAAAACCAACAGACTGGGTGATTTATTTATTTTTATTGTATGTGTATGAGTGTTTTGCCTGCATATATGTAAGTGTACCATGTGTGTATAATGCCCTTGGAAGCCAGAAGAGGGTGTTGAAGTTCCTGGAACTAGAATTACAGATGAGTGTTAGCTACATTGTGGTTGTTGGGAACAGAACCTAGATCTTCTGCAAGAACAGCCAGTGCTCTTAACCACTGAGCCATCTCTCCAGCCCTCAGATTGGGTAATTTATAAAAGATAGAAGTTTTAATGTTTTATTGGGCATGGTGGCACATGCCTTTAATCCCAGTACAGGGGAAGCTGAGGTAGGCAGATGTCTGTGAGTTCGAGCCCAGCCTGGTCTATATAAAGAGTTCCAGACAATCTGGGGCTACAGGGAAATCCTGCATCGAAAAGACCAAAAGAGAAACAAAGTTTTGTTACGTCATCATTCTGTAGGTGGGAATTCAGGGCGCATGGTGCTAGCCTTTGCTGAGGGCCTCTTGTTGCATGTTACGTGGTGGATGGGCTTCTGGTGGCGTGACAGCGTGTGTGCTGGCTGCTCTCCTGGCTGCCACCTCCTCCTCCTTTTAAAAATTTTTTGAGTCAAGAGTCTTACTGTGTAGCCCAGGCTGGACTCAAACTTGAGCTGTTCTTCCTCCATCTACCAGGGTGCTGAGATTTCAGGTGTGTCACCACATTGGGCTCTTTTTTCTTTTTTTTTTTTTTTTTTCGGTCTTTTTGAGACAGTGTCTCCCTGTAGCCCTAGCTCTCCTGGAACTCACTATGTAGACCAGGCTGGCCTCGAGCTCACAGAGATCTGCCTGCCTCTGCCTCCCGAGTGCTGGGATTAAAGGCATGCGCCACTACACCCAGGCACATTGGGCTCTTTTTAAAAGAGACTGCATTTAGATAGGCTGTCCTTAAACTACTGAACTTGTGTACCCAAGCGAGCATCATGGGTAGCTGAGAGCACACGTAGCCGTGCCTGGTTAGCACTCTTCTTTCTCTCTCTCTTTCTTTCTTTCTCTCTCTCTCTCACCCTCCCTCTTCCCTCCCTTCCTCCCTCCCTCCCTCCCTCCTTCCCTCCTTCCTTCCTTTTTAAAATCTTTTTGAGACAGGGTCTCCCTGTAGCCCCAGCTGGCCTGGAACTCACTATGTAGACCAGGCTGGCCTGGAACTCACAGAGATCCATCTGCCTCTGCCTCCCGAGTGCTGGGATTAAAGGCGTGCATCACCACACCCGGCCAGCACTCTTATTTCAAACCTAACTCTGATTTTATAATTACCTGGCTTTCTTTTTTTTAATTTTTTAAATTTATTTTTATTTTATGTGTATGCATGTTATGCCTACATGTGTGTAAGTGCACCTGTGTTGTGCAATGCCCATGGAAGTCAGAAGAGGGCATCAGATTCCCTGGAACTGGAGTTATGGATGGTTGTTAGCCACCATGTGGGTGCTGGGATTCGAACCCGGGTCTTCTGTAACAATAGCCAGTACTCTTAACCACTGAGCCATCTCTCCAACCCCTCAGCCCGCAGTTAAGAATCCTTACTGGAGAGATAGCTTAGCAGTTAAAAATCCTTACTGCTTTTTTTTTTTTTTGGTCTTTTTGAGACAGCGTCTCCCTGTAGCCCCAGCTGTCCTGGAACTCACTATGTAGACCAGTCTGGCCTTGAACTCACAGAGATCCTTCTGCCCCTGCCCCCCAAGTACTGGGACTATTGTTGTGCGCTACCATGCCTGGCAAGAATCCTTACTGCTTTTGAAGAGGACAAGAGTTTGGTTCCCAACATCCGTGTCAGATAGCTGACAGTTGCCTGAGACTTCAGCTCCAGGGCATCAGATGCCTCCTTCCAACATCTGCACACACATCCTTATAGATCCATGCACACACACACACACACACACACACACACACAATTTTTTTTATATTTATTTTATCTTATGTGTATGAGTGTATTGCCTGCATGTGTGTAAGTGCACCTATGTTGTACAGTGCCTGAGGAGGTCAGTAGAGGGCATTGGATCCCTTGGAACTGGAGTTACAGATGGTTATTAGCTGCCATGTAGGTGCTGGGAATTGAACCCAGGTCCTCTGCAAGAACAGTCAGTGTTCTTAACCACTGAGCCATCTCTCCAACACCAATTTTTTTAATCTTTTTTTTTTTTTGTCTTTTTGAGACAGGGTTTCCTTGTAGCCCCAGCTGTCCTGGAACTCACTATGTAAACCAGGTTTGTCTTCAACTCACAGAGATCCATCTGCCTCTGCCTCTCAAATGCTAGAATGAAAAGCGTGCGCCACTAGGCCTGGCCAGATCTTCCATTAAATTTGTTTTAAAAAATAATTTTTTTAATCTTAAAAAAAAAAAAAACAAACAACTAGGCATAGTGACAAATACCTGACAACACTTGGTAGTGGAGGCAGGAGAATCAGGAGTTCAAGGCTACCTTCAACTACCTAGTGAATTTGAGGCCAGCCTGGACTACATGAGACTCTGTCTCAAAAACAAAACAAAAAAGCCATACTGATGCTCTGTGGCCTCAGCTGCTTGGGTGGCTAAGGCAGGAGGATTGCTTGAGCCCAGGAGTTTAAGCCACCCTGAGGTACACAGGGAGAGCCCCTCCATCCCTAAGAACAAAACCAACAAATACTGGTTTCCTGTTGTGTGAGTCAGGATGGTGATACAAGGTATACTGAACAGTCTGTCCTAGGCGGTCCTTTCTGCCTCAGGCTCTTGGGGGCTGGACATCTGAAAGTCAAATCTTGCCCTTGAACCTGAATATCCAGAGAAGTTGGCACTGGGAACCATGGCGCTTGCCCTTGGGGACAGTGCACACTGCAGCCTATAACGCAGGTTCTTTGGTGTATTTTACTCTCTCCACACTATCTCATGTTTGTAGGATGGGATTGGTGTCACTTAGGGGAGCAGGCCCTGGACACATCCAAGAAGTGTTTATTGAGCACCTGGTGGATATACCAGGATGTGTATTAGGTACTAGGAATAGAAGGAAGAGAAAGTGTCTATTCCCTAGAATTTTTAATTTGATTGTGTTAAGTTACTGATATGACTCATGCTTGTAACTTGGCCCTGCGGGATTCGTAACATGTCATCAAACCCTGAATTGGTTGCCAACTCACTGCACAGCCCTAGACTGTTATCTGAAGAAGTCTCAACAAATGGGGCTCATAATACAGAGTGCATTTAGTGTGTGTACAATGCCTGGTTCATTTTAATAGCTGGAAAGCCACACTTCCCCCTCCCCGCCTCAGGCCAGGGTCACCTAGCAGCTCCTGCCTGCTGCTGCCAGGACAGTTTCCTCAGAATATCGACAACATGGAGGAGAAGGCTGTGCTCTCGGGTTGTAGAAGGCTGTGCTCTCGGGTTGTAGAGGCTGTGCTCTCGGGTTGTAGAAGGCTGTGCTCTCAGGTTGTAGAAGGCTGCCCTCTTTACTGATTCAGTGTTCTGCATTGAATCTCTGACACTAAAAGACACCAAGGGAATTGGCAACAGCTGGGCTGGGATCCCAGTTTTCTGGGACAACTGTATGCTTTGTGCCTTCCCCAACCCCACCCATTCTTAGGAGCCAGCAGCTATAGACAGGGACTTAACTTGGGCCACACACGTCAGTGGTGTCACTCTTCAGACTTCTTAGCAGGGCCATCAAGGCCTTTGGTGCCCTTGCCCCATCACTGTGCTTCCCCCAGGCTGGTATGCTATGCCCTCCCCGTGCCCTCAGCATAGCTCAGACTTCCCCAAGTGGTCCGGGAAGGGGCCTGCTCTTCTGCTCTGTCCCTGGTTAACTCTTAGTTACCATTCCATCTGCTTACAACTCACTGCCTACAGGAAGTCTCCCAGCACCGCCTTTCCTTGTAGAAGGTTAGGCTAGCCAGACCTTTGCAATAGCACACTCACCCAGTCCTGAGGTGGCCTCATCCCCTGGGCAGCTGTTAGAGGAAGGGCCTGGCCTTTTGCCTCACAGCTGAGTCCCCAGCCTGGCACAAAGCTCAGTGTCTGGTCCATCTTACATGCATTCTAATTATATGAATTTGAAATTGAATTCCATGAAAACGTGTAAGCAGAATTTGAAATGTCTGTTCTCACCATAGGGAAGAGCATGATTCCAAAGCTGCAATGTGGGGATTAGTGATGGCCCATGGGGAGCTGAGGAGGGTAGTGCACGACTGTTATCCCAGCACTTAGGAGGTGGAGGCAAGAGGATCAGAAGTTGGGACTAGAGCAGTGGCTCAGCAGTTAAGACACTGGCTGCTCTTGCAGAGGACCTGGGTTCGGTTTCCAGTACCCACATGGCAGCTAACAACTGTCTGTAACTCCAGTTCTGGGGGATCAGATGTTTTCTTATATACATGCAGGCAAAGCCCTCATACACATAAAATAAAAATAAATAAAAAAAAGAAGTTCAAGGTCATCCTTGGCTATACAAGTTTGATACTAGGCTGGACTGCATGAGATCTTGTCTCAAAAAAAAATTGTCCCCCATTTGGAATTCCAGTCCTTGCCTTTCTAGCCTTATCTTTATCTGGAGGCATGATCTGCTCTTTAACTTTGTTGTCGCATGGTGGCGCCATACCAACTAAACAGAGACAGACACATCTGTTCTCTGATTGGTTATCCTGTCCACACAATGCCTGTCTGGATTTTGGTGACTTTTGTGTTGCTATTTTTAAATTCACTGTTATAATTTAAACACAGTGTGTCATCTACCCTTTTGTTAGAAGGTAGCATAGAACCAGGGTTGAAGAACTTGCCTCAAAGCTGGTAACTCGTGTGGTGTGTGACACAGGGTGATGGGGCATGATATTCCTGATCAAAGCCCAGCAGTGGTTCAGTCAGGCCGAGCTGTCAGTTTTTGAGTGACCTCTTTTCAGAGTCTTAGGGCACATAGGGAGAAGGCAGAAAGCAACTACAATAGGCCAAGGTGGCCGAGGGCCTTACGTGCCGAGGGACCCTCTGCCTCCCGTTGTATGTTTGTTCTTACTGGGGGATTAGTCCCACCATGTATCCAGTGGCTACCCTGCAGGCCCAGCCTTCACATCACATCTGCAGAGTGAGGATGACCCATGAATAGAGATGCGGCTGCTGACCCTGTCTGACCTGCCTTTCCCTTTTCCCATGTCCCCCTCTCTAATCCCGCTGCCTCTGTGGTTAACAGGCAGTCTCTTGGCTTATATCTGTCCCTCTCAGGTGTTCTTACGGTCCTCCATGTAAATAGTTTTGTTACTATAATGACCTACCTGAGGGTGATACTTTCTAAAGAAAAGAATTCTGTATGTGTATATATATATACATATATATATATTTATTATTATTATTATTATTTTGTCTTTTTGAGTCAGGGTCTCCCTGTAGCTCCAAGTGGCCGGAACTCACTGTGTAGACCAGGCTGGCCTTGAACTCACAGAGATCCATCTGCTTCTGCCTCTCGAGTGCTGGGATTAAAGGCGTGCGCCACCATGCCCAGCTTAAATTATTTTTATTGTTATTTTATGTGTATGTGTGTATTGCCTTCATGTATGCAAGTGCTCCTTGCATACATGTCGTGCAGTGCCTACAGAGGCCAGAAGAAGAGTGTAGGATTCCCCTGGATCTGGAGTTACAGATGGTTGTTAGCCACCATGTGAGTGCTGAGAATCAAACCATCCTCCCAAGTGCTAGGATTAAAGGCATGCGCCATCGGCCTTATTATTTTTATGCTATGTGTGCATTGCCTGTATGTAAGTGCACCCATGTTGTGCAATGCCCATAGAGGTTAGAAGAGGGTGTCAGATCTCCTGGAACTGGAGTTACAGATGGTCAAGGGCTGCCATGTGAGTGCTGCGAATTGAACCTGGGTTCTCTGCAAGAGCAGCCAATTCTCCCAACTGTTGTGCCATCTCTCTAGGCCCCCCAAAACAAAATTTTTAAAGGAAGCCTTAACAAATACCAAAAGATAGAAATAATCTTTTATCTCATCACATATTAGTGAAATAAAACTAGAAATCAATAGCAAGAGAAATTGCACAAATACATGGAGACTGAGCAATATACATGCTTAATGACCAGTGGGATATTAAATACGTCAGAGAGGATATTTAAAAGTTCCTAGGTGTCACAAAATTTCCCAGAATCAAATGAAAATGAAAACCTAGCTTACCAGAGCTTCTGAAGTACAGCTAATAAATTACTAAGAGGAAATTTTATAAGTGCTTATATTAAAAAGTCAGAGCTGGGTGTGGTGGTATATGCCTTTATCAGTCCTCTGTAAGAGTAGTCAGTGCTCTTAACCACTGAGCCATCTCTCCAGCCCCTAAAGAGAAGAATTTTATTTGGCTCACAGAGGTTTATGGCATGGTGCTAGCTCTTGGTGAATGGCCTCATGTGAGAGGGAGAGAGACCTGGTGTGCAGCTACTTGGGAGGATGAGGCAAGAGAGTCACAGGTTCAGTCTGCCTGGGCTCCAGAATGAGTGTAAATCTAGACTGATAACTTGGTAAGACCATGTCTCAAAGTAAAGAGTAAAAGAGGGCTGGGGAAGGCTGGGGATATGGCTCCGTTGGTGGAGTGCTGGCCTGGTTTGTACTTAGTCCTGGGTTCCATCTCTAGCGCCACATGCACCAGGCATGGTGGTGCTTGCCTGTAATCCAGCACTCAGGAGACAGAGGCAGGAAGATCAGGAGTTCAGAGTTATCCTTGACTATATAGTGAATGTGAAGCCAGCCTGGGCTGGAGACAGTGTCTTAATGAAAGGGGTGGAGCTGGGGAAGTCACTCAGTAGCACAGGGCTTGCCCAGTATGCATGAAGTCCTGGTTTGTTCCTCAGGACCACAGAAGAAAAAAAATTCTTACACAGGGTTAAGACAGGAAGTCAGAGCTCACGAAGGGGACACTCTTACTACTTCCCCTCAGACCCTGCCTCTTAAGGTTCCCACCACCGCTCACCATCATGACAGCCGACCAAACTCCTAACCACAGCACCCACTTAAGTACCAGGTTCCTCAGGCAGACAGGCCACAGACCTACAGGCTCATTTCAGTGCCTCTCACCAAGCCACTTTTAAGTCATTCCCGGATGACTAGTGAAGATTCTAGAATCTGTACCAAGAACGCCACCTGAATTGAGGAAGCCTTAAGAAGCTGGGGACAGCCTGGCTTTGCTGGTTTGGTGGCCTCTGCGGGAACAGCAGTTAGGCAAAACACCAAACCAAGTAATAGCAACTTCCTGGTTCCCTGGGTGTTACTGGAGGGAACAAAAATAGCCAGCAGTTTCTGAGCTTCAGCTGTGTGGTGAGGGCCTGTGGGTGTTGGGGTTATAACTACAAGGGTGCTAGAACCATCTCTGTTCCTGCACGTGGTCCCCAGCTCCCTTCCACACACCCAGCCATGCAGACCCACCTGCTGCCCAGCTTGGGAGGCAGAGGCAGGTGGAACTCTGTGAGCTCAAGGTCAGCCTGGTCTATATACTAGTTCCAGACTAGCTGGGGCTACAGGGAGACCCTGTCTCAAAAAGGCATAAATAAATAAATATATATATATATAATTAAATAGTGCCCTTTTCAATATTAGAGTTAACACTAGATAGATAAGATACAAACATTCTAGTAGATCTCTTCAGTTGTACCCCACACATTACTAATGGTCACAGACCTACAGGCTCATTTCAGTGCCTCTCACCAAGCCACTTTTAAGTCATTCCCGGATGACTAGTGAAGATTCTAGAATCTGTACCAAGAACGCCACCTGAATTGAGGAAGCCTTAAGAAGCTGGGGACAGCCTGGCTTTGCTGGTTTGGTGGCCTCTGCGGGAACAGCAGTTAGGCAAAACACCAAACCAAGTAATAGCAACTTCCTGGTTCCCTGGGTGTTACTGGAGGGAACAAAAATAGCCAGCAGTTTCTGAGCTTCAGCTGTGTGGTGAGGGCCTGTGGGTGTTGGGGTTATAACTACAAGGGTGCTAGAACCATCTCTGTTCCTGCACGTGGTCCCCAGCTCCCTTCCACACACCCAGCCATGCAGACCCACCTGCTGCCCGGCCTGGGCCGTCTTTCCCAGCAGGACTGTCCTCCCCTGTACATCTCAGCCTGAATCACGGTTACCTTCTGAGTCCTTACCCACTTCCCTGAGAACCCTCTAGACCTCTACTGCTCTACCTTCTGCCTCTCCTTTTTTGTTTTGCTTTTGTTTTTATGGTCCTGGAGATGAAACCCAGGGCTATACACATGCTAGGCACATGCTCTGCCACTGAACTACACTTCCAGCCCTTTGCTTCTTGTTTTAAACCGATGCCTTGTACATAGGACGCCTTCTTTCCCCTCAGGAGCTTGGCTGCCAGAGATCTTTTCCCAAGAGGCCTCCTGCATCATCACCACCACCACCACTTCCTAAGCTGAACTGTGTGGGACTCTAGCCTTACCCTGACCCCTCTGTTTTCTAAGCATGTCATGGCTGTTGGAGAGTGTGGGGAAAAGATGGAAAATATGACAGCTTAGAAGAAAGATCCCCAGCACTTAACGAGCTGATGCTGTTGTCTTCTTTTCCCTTCCCTTGGGACCCCAGCACACAGGCACAGTCTGCTGTTCTCAACAAATGTCCTTCCTCACACCCTTCACCTCCATCTCCATGGTCCTGACATCTCTAGTTCAACTTGCCTCATAATGTCCCTTTGAAGGGACTTGCACCTACCGGCCCCTTCCCAAAGCTGACAATCAACTTTCAGCTCCCACTACTCAGGGGTCTTTATAGAGAGCCTTGGGCTGCACCTGAATGTTTCTTTAGGAAATTACTAGTGTAGAAGGTATAAACATTGGCACACATTTTGTTACCTGTGACTTGATGTCTTGATTTGGTGTGTGTGTGTGCGCGCACGCGCGCGTGCAAGCGTACTCATGGAGGTCAGAGGACACTTGAGGGAATCAGTTCTCTCCTGTACCATGTGGGTATTGGGAACTGAACTCAGGTTGTCAGGCTTGGCGGCAAGCCTTTACCTACTAAGCCTTCTTGCTGGCCCCTATTTGGTATATTTTAGATGCCTTCTCTGGGAGTCCATAAAATGATACGGGGTGGCCCAAGAAGTATGTACGTCTGATCCTCTTGTCACAGGCCTGTAATTCTAGCTGTTTTAGAGGCCGAGGCAGGAGGATCAAAAGTTCAAGGCCAGTCTGGACTACAGAGCAAATTCAAGGCCAGCTTGTGCAACTTAGTGAGATCTTGTCTCAACATAAAACTCTAAAGAGGCCTGGTGATATAGCTCAGTGGTAGAGTGCTTTACCTAACATATATGAGTTTTCCAGAACTGCCAAAAAGAAGAAAAAAAGTCAAATGATAAAGTAGAACAAAAAAAGAGTTGAAATGTGATGAGATTAAGTTTGTAGCTCAGAAAGTTCCTCCCCTGAGGCCTACCTGCTCACTAGAGGCAGAGCACATGTCAGCCTTGTGCTTACAGCTCCTGAGAAATGATAAATCCTTTTTAAGATTCACATTGTCAGGGACTGGAGAGATGGCCCAGTGGTTAAGGACATGTACTGCTCTTGCAGATCACCTGTAACTCCAGCTCTGGGGAATCCAGTGCCCTTTCCTGGCCTCTGTGGGTAACTGCAGTCATGTGCACATACCCCCACATAGTCACACACACACACACATGCACACGCACACACACACACACGCACTGAAAATAATAATAAATCTTGTGTTGGATATAGTTACACATATCTTTAATATTAGCCCCAGGGAGGCAGAGGCAGGCAGATCTCTGCGAATTCGAGGCTGGCCTGGTCTACATAGTGAGTTCCAGACCAGCCAGGGCTTCATAGTAAGACTATATTTTAAAAAATTAATATGAAATAAAATAATCTAAAAAAAGAAAAAAGATCCACAGTGTCTGGTGGTATTCGGTGCTTGGTGTTTGTAAGACAGAAGTCAGGGATACTGACCCCAGTGAGATGTCTCTGTCCTTTATTATCTTAGTGGGTTACTGTGTGAAATAGTAATTTCAAACTGTAATTTTTTTGCCTGTGCTGGGGCTCAAACCTAGGGCCTCTGTTGGATGGTGTAGCCTCTCAATGACCAGCAGCAGATGGATATCTTTTTCTCTAGTTTCCCCCTCCCCTGCTGACCACAAACTGTTTGAACCCTAAGACTCTCTGGAAGAAGGGAGGAGCAGAGGGAGACAGTCACCCTTTCCACCCAATCAATCAACCTTAGCTGCATGAGAGGGAGGGACTAAGGAGAGACACCTGGGAAGCGAGAGAGGAGGAGAGTGCTTTGCCATCTTGGGGTGGGGGGTGGCGGTGGCCACAGATCTGGAAGGCTTAGCCCAACATGTAAGGAAAAAAGCCCAAGGCTACCTGTGTCTTTGTAAGTACCCCTCATCGTCATCATAGGCTCTGTTACTAAGCCCAACTAAATATCCTGTAGATTGGAGGAACTAACCTGTAGTTTGGAGGAATAATTTCTCAGTTGGTCATAAGGACAGTGGGAGGAGGGACTGTCTCTGGGCCTGAAAGCTGAAAGCACGCGGGCCTCCCAGCAGTAATTTTTAGTACAGCCTCACACATGCCATTCCATTGAGCTACATTCCATCTGGCGTGTGCGTGTGCGTGCGTGCATGTGTGTGTGTGTGTGTGTGTGTGTGTGTGTGTGTGTGATAAATTACTCATGTAAAATTTATCATCATCTGGGCCTGGAGAGATGGCCCAGCTGTTAAGATCACTGACTGCTCTTGCAGAGGACCTGGGTTTGATTCCCAGCACCCACATGGTGGCTATGAACCATCCTTAACTCCAGTTCCAGGGGAATCTGACACTCTTCTCTGACCTCCGCAGCATTGCATGACACGAGTGCACTCATATACCTGCAGGCAATATACTCATACACATAAAATAAAAATAATAAATTATAAAAAAATTACCATCATCTTAATTATTTTAAGGATACAATTCAGTGAGTTTAATACATTTATACTATTTTTAAAGAATATTTTATGTGTATGAGTGTATTACCTGAATGTGTATAAGTGCACCCATGTTGTCCCTGAAACTGGAGTTATGGATGGTTGTTAGCTGCCATGTGGGTGCTGGGAACCAAACCCAAGTTCTCTGCAAGAGCAGCCAGTGCTCTTGACCACTGAGCCATCCCTCCAGCCCCAATACATTCATACCGTTATCTAACAAACATCACTATTTATTTCTAGATTTTTTTGTTTTTTTGAGACAGGATCTCATGTAGCGCAGGCTGGCCTCAAACTCGCTGTGTAGCTTGAGAATGACCTACAATTTCTGATCTGTCTTGCCTCCACCTCCCAAGTGTTGGGGTGCAGTTAAGCACCTCCACACCAACTTCCAAGCTTCAGTTTCCTTTCAGCACTGGCAGAGTTGACCAGAGAAGCCTTTGGGTCTAGATCTTTTCTTCTTTAAGAGAAACACTGTTGTGTGTTGCAGTGACATGGGGTATTTTTGCTTCCTTGCAGAACAGAAAGACTATGGCTTTGAGGTAACCCATACTTCCTCTAAAGGAAGGACCTTCAGTAGTGACTCTGAGCCGGATGCTGTCCCGTTCCAGAACGACCTGAGGACCTTTGACCAGCTGGATGCAGTATCAAGTTTACCCACTCCCAGTGACATCCTTGTGTCCTATTCTACCTTCCCAGGTGAGCTCATCCAGGTGTCCTTCCCATCTACCCCGAAGACAGCCTCTATGGCCCCGACTGATCTATTTCCCCTCTCCAAGCTCCTTCCCAGGCCGAGGCTGGCAGGGCTCCTGGAGTACAGACTGGGAACAGTAATTGTAGCTTGCAGTTGTCAGGAAAAATAAACAAGGGAGGATGCTGGTGGATCCCTGGCATAGTGCCACAGAGAAGGGATCAAGCACTTCTTCCATCCTCACTCAAGTCACCTGACTTATCAGAACCTTGCTTTTCTTGCTGAGAAAATGGGAGCCACAGCCAGAGTGAGGAGGTACAAGAGTTGGTCCTGAGTGTGAAGAGGAACAGGCGCAGCAGGGAACCGTAGGGACAGGATGGCAGTTTGCACGTAGTGGGCATGGCTGTGTGGCAGAGCTCAGACTATCTCTTCCTGCAGGCTTTGTCTCTTGGAGGGACAAGAAGAGCGGCTCCTGGTATATCGAGACCTTGGACAGAGTCCTTGAGCAGTGGGCTGACTCTGAAGACCTACAGTCCCTCCTGCTCAGGGTGAGCACCCCCTTTCCTCCTGAGACAGGAGAGGCTGTGGAGGGGCCAGGGGTAGACCAGGCAGCAGGCCTAAGCCAAAGACAGGCTGGTAGGGCCCTGACTGTGTTGGAGCCTTGGCTTAATGTGAGAGGCAGGGAGTGCTTTGCTTTTCAAATGAAGAATGTGACTGTTTGCAAAGTGTGTCCCTTGCCTCCTTGGAGACCCTCAGGCAGATACCTGGTCTCCAGCTGACAGGGTGGTCTTAAATGCCAGGTAGATGGTTCAGTGGCCAGGCCAGAGTATGGTGCCCTCAAGTGGCTGTAGATAGGCATTTCCATGGTACAATCTCTCCCCTGGCTTTTTTGTTTTGTTTTTGTTTTAGATAGGGTCTCATGTATCTCAGTCTGGCCTGGAACTTGCTATATAGCAGAGGATGGCCTTGAACTTCTGATCTACCTCCTGAGCGAGTGAGTGAGTGAGTGAGTGAGTGAGTATGTATATGTGTCTGTTAGGGTGCCCTGTCACTGCACCCACACCCCGCAAGTGCACAACTTGGGGCTAGAGGAATTATTCCTGTTCCTAAGGAAGACTCTGGCCTGAGCATTGCTAAGCAGAGCTCAGGAGAGGAGAGGGGAGTGTGGCCCCTTCCCTCCAGTGTTAGGCAAGTGACTCAGAGGCCACTGGGGTCCTGTAGGGGCAGGGGACAGCTAGGGCCAAATAGTACATGGTACCCCTGATCCTGCCCACTTCTGACCTCCTTTGCCACAAACCTTTCAGTCTGTTTGGAACTTCGTGAGTTTTTGCATTGGGAATTTTGAATTTTGTCTTTTTTTAATTTGTAGCTGGGGCGTTGTCCTGTACCCTACCCCAGCAGGTTGTAGGTAGAGCTGCCTTTAGGTGCCCCTTCAGTCGACCCTCCCCTCTAACCCCTTCCAGTCCTTGCTCCAGTCAAGGGCACTGAACTCACACCCCTCCCTGTGGCTCTGTTTTGCAGGTCGCTAATGCTGTTTCTGAGAAGGGGATTTACAAACAAATTCCTGGCTGCTTTAACTTTCTCCGGAAAAAACTTTTTTTTAAAACTTCATGAAGCCAGGGGCCACTCACTGCCTCATTGATCTCCGCCAGCCCTTCCTGCTCCAGGCCTGGAGTGGTTGAGGCCAGGACTGCCCTACAAAGCAAGGAGTTTGTAGCCCAAGCAGGCTGCTCTTTCTCATCCATGACAGACAGGCTACCAGCAGCTTCTAGGCTGGAGAGAGATGTAGAACGGCAGGAGAGGAACAGAGTGCTGTGGATGCTGCCTGGCCTCTTCAGCTGTAGCTAAGGACTCTGGCCTCTGACCCCCAGGTTCTCTCTAAAACAGGGCTTCTCCACCTCCCCACTGCTGATGTGTGGGGCTAGATAACCTGTGAAGCTGTCCTGTGTGTTGTAGAGTATCTTGAGCCATTCTTGGCCTCTACCCACCAGGAGTGCCCCTCCCAAGTTGTGCCAACCAGAAATGTCTTCAGATATTGTCACATGTGCCCAGGGGGACATAATGGCCCCACTTGAGAACCATCTCTCCACAGGAGTTTGTGGTTTCAGACAAGCCACATCTCTCCCAGACTCACGAGCTTAGCCGGCCGAGTCTGAACACCTGAATCTGAGAGTCTTCAAAGTTTCTAGAACGTTCATTTATTCTTAAAAAAATAAATCTTAGGGAAATATTGACCTTATTAGCCTAGTCTCTCCTACCCCCACCTCACTTAGCTCCAGCCCTTTATTCTTCCCTAGGAAGGAGACTTGCTTTTCTTCTGTGTCTCCCCCTGCCTTATTAGATACCCACCCCAGGCCAGGATGTGACTGGGATGGGAACCAGGAGTCTGAGAGGTCAAGTTTCTTTTCAAAAGGATCACCATTTCCTGTTAGTAGAGATTCATGGACAGAGCTTGGCTCTTCTGAGTCCCAACCTCGGCCTCCCAGTATCTTCCTTATTGAGTGAACCTCGCCCCCAGATGGCAGTGACTGTGCTGGGCCACAGTGAACTGGTGGCCTTTCCCCAAAGGCCCTGTCCCTGAGGTCTATAAAGCTGTCCTGAATTATTTTCTTTTTTCTAGTTTCAGTATTGTTTTCTCCTTTATGAATCCATTTGAGCTTAGATGATAGAGATGTGAAGTCTTGGCTGGTTTTGAGACAGGTTTTGACTTTAGCCCAGGCTGGCCTGGAACTCTCCATCCTGCCGCCTCCTGAGTGCTGAGATTACAGCTGTGCACCACTTCTTCAGGTTACCCCCCCGCTTCTTGTTTTGGGGGCACTGGAGGTTAGGGTGTTTTGTTAGTAAGACTCACACCAAGATTTGATTCATAAGCCAGGCATGGTGGCACACGCCTTTAATCCCAGCACTTGGGAGGCAGAGGCAGACCGATCTCTGTGAGTTCGAGGCCAGCCTGGTCTACATAGTGAGTTCCAGAGCAGCTGGGGCTACAGGGAGACCCTGTCTCAAAAAGACCAAAAAAGAAAAAGCCACCAAAATCAGATTTGATTTGAGTCATATATTCACTTTACTATTTTTTTTCTGTGACATTTCCAAGGTACCACTTCCAGGGAGGTGTTCTTGGTTAGTTATTTGCTATCACCTGCGGGACACAAAGGGGAAGATGAGCAGGTTAACTCTCAGAGCCACATTGGGCCCGTGCATCTTTGTCTTCCTCACCAACACATAGCTTTTACATACTGAGTTCTGATGATGCATTAGGAGAAAAAGGGTCTTCCTGTAATGAGGCTTCTTAGCCTAGAGTCCTTTTTGGGTTTCAGGCTAGGAGGCCTGTGAGCCTCTAAAAATGACATGCCAAATGTACACATGGGTGTGGCTCTCGATGCAATTTGATTTTCCAAACTGCTGTTTGAGGCTCTGGTCATAGTGAACCAAGAGGAAGTCTTTTGCTTTCAAAGGTCAGTTAGCAGAATCAAAAACTTTTTTGGGGTGTGTTTGATTTTGGTGCTGGAGGTCTCACACACTAAGCACATGCTCTGCCACTCAGCTTTTCCAGCCCCTAAGCATTTTTTTTTTTCTTCTTGAGACAGGATCTCACATAGCCCAGCCTCAAAGTCACTACATAGCCAAGAAGAATGACCTTGAATTCTTGATTCTTCTGCCTTTACTTCCTGAGCACTGAGACTAAAGGCCTGTGCCAAGCCTGGCTTTTTTTTTTTTTTTTCTCCTATGCACATAAAGCCCAGAAGAGCACACAGTTACTTCTCAATGTTGATTACCTCTGCAGAGTAGAAATGGATATATAAAAGAGGGAATCTTCTACTTTTTTACTTGCTACACTCCTCTATTCTTTTAAAATATTTTTATAAAGAAATGTCTTCCTTTCTGAACAAAACAATAAAGCTGTGATCGCTGAAGGCTGATGGGCTGGCATGTAGCTGTTATTCAGTAGGCATTTGTAAGGACAGGTGCCTTGGGCCTCCTGTTGTGTGTGTGTGTGTGTGTGTGTGTGTGCGCGCACGCGCATGTGCGTGCGCCCCCTCATCCTCCTGTGTCGTCCCCCCCCTTCCTGTTTGTGCCTTTTGTTGGCAGCTGACTGGTCTTTGCTCCTCACCTAGGTTTGTCTGGGCAAGTGCTCCCAGGCACCCTCGGGCTGCAGCTGTTTGGGACTCAAGGCTGCAAGCACACACCATGTGTCCCTAGGCTGGGAACATGCCAGGTTCCCATAGTTCTCTGCAGCTGCTGGGGTGGCCCCTCCAAGGACAGCTGGCTCCCCACCTTTCCCACTCCTGGAGCCTATTCACTAGCATTCTGCTCCACTGGCTGCTCTCCCAAGAACCCAAGGCCTCTGCCCAGCTGCCAAGCAAGGTTTGCTTTCCCTGTTGGTCTCCCACACTCCCACCCCAGCCATCTGTCCTGCTGTGTCTGCCTGTGTCTCTGGCTGGGAACAGCAGGTGCTGCAGCAGCAAGTAGGGACAGTTGCCCCTGGCTTCTGCTTTGAATCCTGAAGGTTCTGCCAGGCTTAGCTGCACTATGACTAATGTGGCAGCTGGGACCACAAAAGAGGGTCCTAGGATTTGGCTGAGAAAAAGCCATAAGCATCCTTCCATCCAATCATTGAGACGCCCCTGAAATGTTGGCTATACCTCTAAGCCGGGCTCGGATTTCCCTCAGCCAAAATTTAATCATGGTTTTCTTCAGGTCACAGTCAAACCAAATGGAAAAATCAAACCACATATACCCAAACTAATCCCTCTCTCTTGATTTTCCATTTTCTTCTAACAAGCTTACTTAAACAAAAGCCCGCTATTTCTCTGTGTGTCTACGTGTGTGTGCCATAGCAAAAGTGTGTAAGTCGGAAGACAATTTGTCAGGAGACAGTTCTTACCTACCATGTGGAATGTGGACCATGGGGACTGAACTCAGGTCAGCAGGCTTTGGCAGCATGTGCCTTTACCCACTGATCCATTTAGCCAGCCCTAACAAACTTTCTTGGAGTCTCTGTGGCTGAGAACAGTTCAGACAGTGAATGTGCAGCTGGTGAGTGTGAGTGAGCAAACTCACCTGCCTCCCTCCTGTGGCCACGTGCTTGTGACTGGGGTTACTTGGTTTTATAACAGTCTAGTTCAGTCTAAAGTTCCTTGCAAATTGAACTGGAGATAACAAAACGATGCCAGCTTCCCCTTTTTTTTGTGGGCTGTGCCACAAATACTAGCCCCGCTGCCTCTGGATCTACCTGCTGAGGGGTCTGGACCCAGTTCAAGTCCCATTTTACAGAAGAGCAAACCTAGTAGGTGACTGAGTACATAATGGGGTAGATTAAAACGTATCCTGTGGACACAGAGCCCTGTTGCGTGCCTGCATCCAACTCCAGACTCCATACCATCTTCACCCAGTGGCCCCTTGATTTGTTCCCCCTGCTTCCTACGACTGTTGCCTGGTCCATGGATGCTCCTCAATGGCGGAACCAGTGATTTTTCTTTTTAAATGTTTATGGGACAGGGTCTCACGAACCCCCAGCCTGGTCTTGAACTTCATGTATATCCAAGAATGACCTTGAATTGATCCTTCCACCTCTACCTCCTGAGTGCGAGGACTACAGGTGAGCTCTCCCACATCCAGTTTATGCAATGATGGAGATTGAACCCAGGACTTTATGCATGCCAGGCAAGCACTCTACCAACTGAGCCACATTTCCATCCTCCACCATTGGTTATTTTAAAAATGGTTATTTTTGCTGGGTGTGCTTTTTTTTTTGAGAAAGGTTTTCCTGGCTGGCCTGGAACTTGTTATGTAGAGCAGGCTGGCCTTGAACTCACAGAGATCTGCTTACTTCTGCACCCCAAGTGCTGGGGTTAAAGATGTTTGCCACCATATCTGGCTCCCAAGTTATTCTTTTAATAAATACTTAATGGTTATTATAGTTAAAAAAAAAAGAGCGTATAGGAGATAACTCTACGGACAGACACATAGTCACAGAAAGGTAAACTCAGTCCTATTTGCCTGGAAGAGGTACAACAGAAAACTGAGTAGTCCTTTGTCCCAGGATAAAGTTAGGTACAGTTGATTATTCTACAGAATAGCTTTGGCGGGGGCTCTTCAGGGTAACTATCTTCTAATAATTAAAGCTCTAAGGGTTTCAAGCCATTGATAAATATGACCACTGATGGCATTGGAGGGTGGCCTGGGCCTATATACCTTTAAGCAGAAATGAGGTATATCACTCTTCCCGGGAGCCCCCCCTCCAGTTCCTGAGGGGCATCTTTGGGTTCATATTGCTTCAACATGCTTACCATCTGTGTTTTTTAATCTACTTTACCCACAGAGACATTGGGGACCCATGGGGGTGCACAGCAGGTGTTGCCTAGGCCTGTAGCCTCCTCCAGGTGACCCCTGCCTACTTGGAGGTTTTAGATCCCAGGACCGTGTGGCCCTAGAGGCCCAGTGAGCAGGGCAGGCCCCATGGGTTGTGTGGGCTCAGGGCCGGTGGTTCTTACCTTGTTGATCCAGTCAATGTAGTTAGAGACCCGGGTGAAGACGGAAGGCTTTCGGGGGTAGTTGCAGCCGAGACTGGAGCCAAAGCTGACGATGCCATGCACCTGCCACTGGCCACTAGATGACTGGCAGTTCAGTGGCCCACCAGAGTCTCCCTGAGGAAGCCAGAGTTGGGGGCGGGGCGGTGAAGGTAGGCAGGGGGCTGCACGGTGGGACCTGGTTCTTAGGATGTTCATATTGTTCTGCAGGGTCCCTGTGTCCCTCTGAGGCCAGGCTTGTGGTCAGAGGTGGTACCACCTTACCTACAAGACGTAACATTTTGCCCCCCCCCGCCACCGCCCCCTGAGAGTCTCAGTGTGTGGCTAAAGCAGTTCTCCTGTTTTAGCCTCCCTAGCACTGGGATCACAGGTGTGTGTCCTGCTGGGTTTGCTTGCTGTTTTATTTTTTTAAGACAAGATCTTTCCATGTAGTCCAGGCTAGCCTCGAATTTACAGCAGTCCTCCTGCCTCAGCCTCCCCAGTGCTGGGATTACAACACCACCATGCCTTGCCTACATTTCCTCTTCATGTGGGGCCCAGGCTGCAGCTGTGCACTTAACATGCCTTATCCCCTTTCATCCTCCTGAAAGCCATGAGGTTTCCAAGGTCCAGCAGAGAAAGCTGAGACTTGTTGGAGTAGGGGGTTGGGGGGTGGATCAGGCAGTGAGTGAGAAGCAGACATGGCAGCCCAATTAAGCTACTCCTTCCCCTGTGACAAGAGACTTTCCGGGGGGGGGCAGGGGTCAGGGCACAGGGGATCTGAGGGTCTTGGGAAGCCCCTCCAATGTCCCCACTTCTCTGTACAGTCTACCTCATAGCAATTCCTTTGGAGTTAGACACTCTCCAGGAAGATTTCCCTAGTAGCTACCCTGAGGGGCCCAAAAGGCCATTAATGGGATTAAGTCAAGTAAGTTAGAAGTCACCTTAGAAAAGTGGGATGACAGTGGTGAGAGACCTGGATGAGACTCAAGGAAAGACTTCCCAGCAGTGAGGCAGAGAGGACACTAAAAACACTTAAAACACTCTTTTCCTGTTTTGTGGGAGACAGGGCCACCAGATTGTGGATACTCACATTGCAGCTGGAGGTCACTCCGTCACCGCCCGCGCAGACCATGTTGTTCTTTACGGAGGTGCCCCACCAGCTGGGGCTGGAGCACGTGGCAAAGTCCACAACCAGCAGCTTGCCCTGCTGCAGAATGTCAGGACTGGCCCCATTGGCTGAATGAGCAGAAAGAAAGTGTTAGAGGGCAAGAGACTCCAGAGTAAAAAAGAAGCAGTGGGGTGGGGGCAAGAGGGGGGACGCAGTTGGTTAGGTGCTTGTTATGAAAACAGGACTTGAGTTCAGATATCCAGCACCCATATGAAAAGCTGGGTGTGGCTTGCCTGTAATTGCACTGTGGGTAAATGGAGACAGGATGCAGGAGGGTGTCTGGCGCTTGCTGGCCATGTATACCAGACACACACACACACACACACACACACACACACACACACACACACGAAGCAATCATCGTGGAATCTTCTGTCCCACTTCTTTTTCTGGTCCATGTCACTTTCCTCCACTCACAGGATGGCAATGAGGGCAACCATGTTTGTCTGTACTGTGTCCTCAGTTGATTGGTCAGTATAATGGTCATTGGTGATTGGTTGAAGTGTGAGTAAGCACCTGATGCAAGTTAAGCCAATGAGCTCTGAGCACCTTCCCCTGGGATTTTTTTTTTTTTTTTTTTTTTTTTTGGGTAGCCACAGAGAGCTCCTAGCCAGAGAGCTGTAGGCAGTGTCTGCCATTTTCTTTAATGCAGATACTGAGGAGGGTCAATCTGAAGTCGGCTTTTTTGTTTCTTACAGGCTTCCAGCTCCTAGTTCTGGCTTGTTCCTCACTTGACTGTGTGTCTGCCCTTTGGTTGAGATTTACTTAGCGCAAACATCCCCCTCCCTTTAAAAATATTGTATTTATTATTTTTATTTTATGTGTATGAGTGTATTGCCTGCATGTACGTAAATGCACCCATGTCGTACAGTGCCCACAGAGGTCAGAAGAGGGTGTCAGATTCCCTGAACTGGAGTTATGGATGGTTATTAGCTACCATGTGGGTGCTGGGAACCAAACCCGGGTCCTCTGCAAGAGCACCCAGTGCTCTTAACCGCTAAGCCATCTCTCTAGTCCCCCCCCCCCCTGTAAACTCCCCCTTTTTGCTGAACTAGCTCCATGGGTTTCTGTCAGTTAACTATGACAGGGAGGTCTTCTTGCTGGGAAGAAATATTCTGTGGTGAAGGCAGTTTTCCTAATGGCTCCAGTGACACTGAACATCGCCCCTATTATTTCCACTGCCAATGGATGGCAAGGATAAAGTTTGAGATTCTTTGTGTGTGTGCATATGGAGGCCAGAGGTCAACCTCAAATATCCTTCCTTGAGTGCCATAAACCTTGATTTTGGAGACAGGCCTATCATTAGCCTGGAGATTTAGGCTAGGTGGCTAGTGAACCCCAGGGCTCTGCCTGTCTCTACTTCCTCAGAGCAGGGATTACAAGGTACACACAACTGGCTTTTTTACGTGGGTTCTGGGGATGGAACTCAGGTCCTCACGTTGCAAGGCAAGTGCTTTACCAACTGAGCCACACCCCCCAACCCTCGGTATCATTCTTTGCTCAGGCTTTCCAAACAAGCCAGTCTTCACAGTAATATTTACTCCTGTTTGACAGAAGGGACACCGAAGCCTGGAGATGGAATGATCTTGCCCAAGACTACTTTAATTAGCATACAATTACCATTTGGTTAACATTTTGTAAGGCACAGAGCATTTTCTCACATCTTTAATCTCCATCAACAGACTTTTGCACTTCACAAATGAGGCAACTGAGGTTTTAATGTGCCTTTCCCAAGGTTCCCTAGTGACTAGCAGAGCTGGGACTAAAGGCCAAGCATGTGGCCCCTCTCGTTGCCTTCATCATCTCAGAGGAAATACATTCTGCCCCAGTGTTTTATGGGTAAACAAACAGGTGGTTGTGCCCGTATCTGAAGAGCACGCGCTACCTCCCTGCCTCTCCCTCAGTGGTCTTTTTTTTTTTTTTTTTTTTTTTTTTTTTTTTTCTTTTTTTTTTTTTTAATGGTAGCCATTGCCAACAGCCCTCTGGCTGGGGGTCTCTTCTCCATCCCAAATTCCTATTGGCTTAGCTTGAGTCATGTGCTCAAGCCAAAAACCAACACCAGTGACTAGAACACTAATCAAATGTGAGGACACAGTGTAGACAAACATGACCAGCTTTAAGAAGGGGAAGGAGGGTGGGATGAAGACCCTGGGGACTTCATGGAGCTCCCAAAGCCTGAAGTCACAGAAAACATGTTACAGCCCTCTTGGTATCACAGTGATGGGGACAGTTGGCACACAGCAGCTGCTATGCACTTCAATTAGGAGTCTTAAGTGCCTCTATGGACTGTCTCCTGTTTTACACCTTGCCAAGGTGCTGTTCTCACCCTATTTTACAGAGGAGAGCAGTCATAGAGGGGCTCAGTTAATGTGCTAAAGTGGGAGAGCTGAGACTTGAACCCAGGCACACTTACTAATCCCTGCTAGGTTGCCCCTCCCAGAGAGCCAAACACCCTGGGGACAGGGGTGACACCACCTCTCTTCCCTGCCGGGCTTAGGGGTCCCCAGCTTGCACTTACTCTGCAGTCGGCCCCAGCCTGTAACATAGCAGGGGTAGTTGTTGGGTAGAATAGTGCCGGCAGGTGGGAGGGAAGCTGTCTGGATCTTGCTGGACAGGGTCACCGAGCTGGCCAGTTTGAGCAGGGCAATGTCGTTCCTGAATCAGGAAAGAACAGGGATCTTGGTGATTTCTACCCCTGTCTTTTCCCCTGTACATTACCCCAGGCTGTCCCTGCAGGCAGGGTAGCAGGACACCCTCACTGTCTTTGCTTCTCCCTACAGAAGGGGCAGAGGAGGGGGAGGGTCAACCCTTCGGTGTGTGTCCCCGAGCCCACCCCTGAAAGCACCAGACAGGACACCACCTACCCGTTGGAGAGCTGGTTAGAGTTCCATTTCTCATGTACCACAGATTTGGAGACCTGGATAGTCACTGAGCCGGACTCTTCGGTGGAGAGTCTGTGACGTCCCAGTACCACGCGGTAGGTCTTGGAACTGCTGTGAGGGGCCAGATGAGAAGTCAGCAACCTTTTCTCTCTTGCCTCCTGAGGGCACTGACACCCCAGTGTAGACTGTGGGAGATGAGCCTGAGACAGTGAGAGCTGGGGGGCCACTAGTGAGGCCTGGGCATTGGTGTTTCCTGGAGGCAATCACTCAGTTGTAACATAAACAGTATAACAGTAACTACACCTATATAATAATTATAATGATCCTATGCTAATTATAAGCCATAATGTATAATAAAAGTTATGGTAATAGAAACAACATTATTATGGAAAGAGGAGTCATGTGCCCTCTGAGAGATTTTATTTTTTAATTAAAAATTTTAATTGATTTTTGTTTTATGCGTATGAATGTTTTGCCTGCATGCATGTCAATGTACCACGTGGTGCAATGCTCATGAAAGCCAGAAGAGGGCATCGAATCCCCTGGAACTGGAGTTACAGGCCCCTATATGGGTACTGGGAACCGAACGTGGGTCCTCTGACCTGAAACTAACCAACACTGAATCATGGATGGACTCACGCCCACATCTCAGCCAGGCAAGTAGCTGTTTACAAGGCTTCTTTACAGAGTATGGTCCAGGCCACTTGGGCCTTCACTGATGGTTAAACAGGGGGCGACCAGGGAAAGGTGGTCAGTTACCTGATGCAGTGGGCAGCTGTCACAACCCAGTTTTTGGCCACGAGGGAGCCTCCACAGATGTGGGACCATATTCCGAGGGACTTAGATTGCAAGGAGACCTGGGAGGAAGCAGAGACATGTCGGTGGAAGGAGCTCTTCAGTGGCCTGGGAGGTGAGCAAGGTCTTTGCCTCTGGTCCCATGTTTAGGGGATACCCAAACCTCAATCATCAAGATAAAAGTTTTGTGTTTTTTTTGAGACAAGGTCTCATGTAGCCTGGGCTAGCCTCAGTCTCACTATATAGCTAACGGTGACCTAGAAGTCCTAATCTTCCTGCCTTCACCTCTCAAGTGTTGGGATTATAGGTATGTGTCGCTATACTCAGAAAAGAAAAACATTTGAATGCTTTATAAAATGTATTTAAAAAAATCAAAATTATAGCTGGGCATGGTTGGTGCAGGCCTTTAATCCCAGCACTTGGGAGGCAGAGGCAGGCAGATCTCTGTGAGTTCAAGGCCAATCTGGTCTACATAATTCCAGGTCAGCTGGGGCAACAGAGACCCTGTCTCAAAAAAGACCAAAAAAAAAAAAAAAAAAAAAACGAAACCAAAAACACAAAAGCTAGGTATGATGCCAGTCCTTGGGAGGTAGAGACAGAAGATCAGAGACTCAAGGCTAGTCTTGGCTATATTGCAAATTCCAGGCTGGCGGTGGTTTACATGAGACCTTGTCCCAAAGCAACAACAAGAAATTAACAAAATTTATGATAAGCAAAACAGCACAAACTTCAACAGTCTGGGCATGTAATCCCAGCACTCATGAGGATATAGGAAGATGGGGAGTTCCAGGACAACCTGGGCTACACAGTGAGTTCAAGGCCAGCCTAAGATACAACAGACCCTGCCCCCACAGGTACTGAAAGGCGACTGTTCTCCGGATTGAACACCTGAGTGAGCAAACGAATCACCAGGGGAAGGGGCTGATCCCCCTGTAGATTTTGTCAGCCCTTCTAGGTTTTCCCTGAGGACTAAATCCATTCATAGGAGTACAGGATGATCAAGTGGGGGCTGGAGAGATGGCTCAGTGGTTCAGAGCACTCACTGGCTGCTCTTGCAGAGGACCTGGGTTCGGTTCCTAGCACCCACATGGTGGCTAACAACTGTCTGTAGCTCCAGTACTAGGGGATCCGACGCCCTCTTTTGACCTCCACAGGTGTTGCAGAACATGGGTGCACTTATACACATGCAGGCAAAACATTCATACACATAAAATAAAAATAAATTAAATAAATAAACCTAAAAACAGAATGATCAAGTAGCACATGATCCTCATGGCCCTCAACAAAGTCTTCTGTGTGTGTGTGTGTGTGTGTGTGTGTGTGTGTGTGTGATAAAAATTTTTTCTGTTTATGTGTGATAGCTTAGTAGGTATGGGCTGGAACCTTAGGGCCCAGCGACTGGCATCCCTTCAAGGGGTCCCACACTCTTCCCCTTCCTTTGTTTCTCCTCCTGTTTTTCAAGGCCCTCAATGGCAAGCAGAGATCAGGGAGGTAACAGTTCTGTGTGCACTCCTGTCCTGACTAACTGCCAGAGCGACTATCTCTGTGGGCAGTTGCCCACTTCTCTCTGAACATTATCGTTTCTAATTAGCAGCTAGAATTTCTCCTTTGCTTGGCATTAAAGGTCAGATGAATTGGCTTTTCACAATGTTTTAAATCAGCCAAGCATGGTGGTATATACCGTAATCCCAACCCTTGGGAAGCGGAAGTTGGGGGATCTTAAGTTAGAGGCCTACCTGGCAAGTTCCTGTCTCAAAAACAAACAAAAATGGGGTTGGAGAAATGGCTCAGCACTTATGAGCACTGGCTGCTCTTCCAGAGGACTGGGGTTGGGTTCCCAGCACCCACATGGTATCTAACAACCACCTGAAACAACAGTTCCAAGGGATCTGACACCCCCTTCTGGCCTCTGTGTGCACTGAACACAAGTGGTGCACTCACATACATGCAGGCACTCCTACACATAAAATAAAAATAAGTGAATTAAAACCACAACAAAAACACTGCCAAGCAGGATGGGGGTAGAGTTTAGTGGTAGAGGACTTGCTTAGTGTGGGCAAGGCTCGGGATTCAATCCTTAGTATTGAAAAAAAAATGGTTTAAAATAGACAAAATGAGGCCTGGCAAGGTAAGTCAGCAGGCAACAGCACCTGCTGCCGAGCCCGATGCCCTGAGTTCAGTCCCCAGGACCCACAGGTGGAAGGCGAGAACCAACTCCCTCAAGTTGTCCCCTGACCTCCACACACATGTTGTGTGTCTCCCTAAATAAGTCAGTGTTATAAAATAGACAAACTGAGGAAGAAAGATACCTGAACGAATCTAAAATAAAATGAGACCTCTTTATAGTGAGGAACTTTTTTCTATGTAATAGATGCTATCCATGGGCAGAAAGGTCAGGACTTGAACCAAATTCGATTTTTGTCTTTCCAAAGCATCCTGTAGGCCAGGTTGGCCTCAGATTCACTATATAGCCAAGGTCGATCTTGAACTCCTGATCTTCCTGCCTTCATGTCTCCAGTGCTGTACTACAGATATGCACCACCACGTCTGATTTTATACAGTGCTTTGGATCAAATCCATGGCTTCCCACATGCTAGGCAAGCACTCTACCAATTCAGCTATATACCCAACCCCTGAACCAAATTTGAATCTTTGCTTTTTCCCGGCTTAGCTGGGTGACTTTGGACTGATACATAATCACTCAGAGTTCCAGTTCCATTATCAAAACAAAGGGGAGGGCTCTCA